ATTCATTGCACTTAATCCAATTGAATCAATAGGAATCGACACAATCCATATTTGTTTGTTGAGATAGTATTAATTTGGATAATACTCAATGATTCAATATTCTTTTGTTTTTGTTTTTGTTTTGTTTTGATGTTGCTTATCTATTTTTGATTATTCCATTTTTCATTTGTTGTTATTGTTGTTGTATTTCAACTTTTGGAATTGATTGTAGTTCATTTGATTATTTCATTTTCGATTTTGACTTTTAGTTTATTCTTGTTTGTTTTGCTATTCTTTAGTTTTCTTTGTTTCTTATTTTCTTATATTTGGGCATTTTATTCCTCTTCCTTTTCTTTTGTTTTGTATAATATGATTCTAATTTGTTTTTAGTTTTTCTTTTTTGTATTTTCTTTTTTTTATTATTTTCTAGCATTCATCTCATTATTCACTATCCACCAGACAAATTGGATTGTGTCGATTCTTATTGATTCAATTCTCATAAGGAAATATGTGATTATTTGTTTGGATTGTTCCATGTTTTGTTTTGCTTATTTCTGTTTGTTTTCTGTTCATCATCATCATTATTATCATTATTATATATCCATTTTAACCAATCATCGAATCAATAATGTGCCATCAGTTTGAAACAACAATACAAATTCCACAGATCATTGTAAAATGAACCAGATAGAATTGTTCCAATCATAATCAATCGAAATGTGTTCCTATTAAACGAATCAAATCAAATCAAATCAAATCAAATCAAATGATCAAGCGGAATAGAATGAAATACAATGAATCGAATCAAATCAAATCATTTAACAAGATAAGATAAGATAAGCTTAGACTTACCAAATAGGAATTGAAATCTATGAAAATCATATGAAATCAATTCCATTCTATTTATCAACAATACTCGAATCGATTTCGATTGAACATACCCCAATGATACAAGTAGATTGACATTTTGAAACAGATTTGGAATATCTATTTACCATCTCTATTCAATATTTAGATCCATTTTCCAATGTCACCAAAACGAGGACAACAGAAACTCCATTATACAGAAGTTAGTGATGTTAGACTTGGAAGATCCAAAACAAATCATAACCAATCAATTCATTCATACTTAGAATTGTCAATGAAGTTGAATCATCATCATCCCATCTTTCTCCCCTACCTTCCAGTATCCGATATCATATGATACATATTATTGTTTTTACTTCTTATTCATTCATTCTGCTTTCCTTCATTCAATCATTCATAGATTAATGGATCATTGATTGTCATAAAGGAAACACTTGATTCTTTGCTTTCATTGATTCCATTTCTTCTTTTGTTGACAAGGAATATTGTTATCGATTTTGATGGTCTGGAATCAATGAATGAATGGTAGGGGAGAAAGAGAGAAGTAGCAATAGCAGCAGCAACATTCACAGCAACAACAATTAGAATAGTAGTTGTAGTAAGCAATGGACCAAACTATCTATCAAATGATTTAATCAATAATCAGAACCTACAATACGAAATCATTTCAAATCAATCCGATTGATGATTCGTGACAACAATCAATCTTTCCATGCAAACCGATAATCAAATGATCTTCTCTTCATTTATATTGAAATCTGAATCGATTCATATAGATTCATTCAATTATGTGGATTGTTTGAAATTGATATGCATTCTTAATATTTGTTTGTTTTCACATATCGAGTTTGTTCTTCATTTCGATCATTCCACATAACAATCTAATTGATCTATTATCCAGAATCGATCAGTAAGTATTATTGATTGATTGATTGATTGATCCATGATAATAATAATACTCATATTACCAATAATATGACTATTATCATGGATTTGGTTCTTTCCTTTTTCTTTATTAAACTACACATATGATTGTTTCAATATCTCTTTCTATGATGATTACTATTATTATTATTATTAATCATCAATAGCTATGGATTGTTCTCAGATATTCTTTTTCTTATTCCTTTTACTGTTCTTATTCTCATTATTGCCTGTTATTCACATACACATTGTTTGTTCTACATCAATTTGGTATTGATTCGATATCGGACACTGCGTTGAGTTCACAATTCATCCATTTGGATTATTACTCATGTTATTGTTCGTTCCTATTATGTTGTTGCTGCTCATTACTTCATTTCATTTCATTTCATTTCTGTTTTAGACATTGCTTTTGAACACATAATCTTATTATTCTCATTGATTTCTATTACTGTTATTATTGTTGCTGTGCCATTTTAACGAATTCATTGTCGTTATTATTGTTATTTGCTTTGTTGTTTGATAGATTCATATTATGAAAGAGTATACAGAATAGGTATCGATTCAATCAATCAATCAATCAATCAATCATGCGTTAAACAGTTCTAAAAGCATGAACAAATGATTGATTGAATGAATGATTGAATCGATGACATTATTGATGCAGAATTACAGTTCATTGGTTGTGATAAAGGTCTTTGTTGTTTTGTGAATCACTCCACAGAGAAAGAATCTTTCGTTCATTCATTGATTCATTCAATGATTTGTTGGTTGATTCAATCATTCAGTCAGCCATCCAAACCAAAGTGAATCAAATATGATACTATGAATGAATATAGAATAGAATAGAATAGCATAGATTGAATGAATAAATGACATTTTTGTTACTGATTTACAGATCATTGGTTGTGAGTAGTGTATTGAGATTGTCAATCACTTCTTAGATAAGATATTATTCATTCATTCATTGATTTGATCGTATAATCATTCAAATATCCCATTGCAATTCACATTATTGGTCCACTTTATACAGATTTAGCGATATTTCCTTGTCAACAATCCATCATTCATTCTTATGGTACAAAATATACATAATCACAGTATGCACTCAATTCAAATCGATGTTTGTAGGATTACTCATTCATTCATTTGTTTACTTTTCAGTGTTGAATTGCTGAAATCGTATCGAATCCAACTCCAATATCACAACCAATCACATTCCCATTCATTTCGATTCTCTCTCATTCACTCTTCATTATCATAATCACGTATTACAATAATAATAAATAACTAATACATATCATTGAATGGATTAAGATCTTAAGCAATGAATACTATTTCTTCTTTTCGTTTCTTTTCTCCTTTCATTCATCCATTCATGGTACAAACCATCTCCATGCTATGCAATCTTTGTACATCCAACTCATATTCATTCAATAGATTGTGACCAATTACACAAATCATTCCAGTACTATTCTATTCACATATAGCATACAATCTGTGATAATATCTAGGAATCATTCAGTTCCAACCACTATATACCAATCATTGTGCATTCCAACTAACAATAACGGAATTTACTACAAACTCCAATCATTCATTCATCGATTGGTTATTCCAGTACTAAATGTCAACAGTATTGTTCCTGCTACTCAGAATTAGTTATTTTATGAAAATGGATTTAACAGAATCAAACATTGTGTTAAACCAATGAAATGACAGAATCGTGTTTGTCTGGATTTTGTTTGTTATGAAGCAAAACTATGCATGATCTATGTAATTCGTTTCAGGATGTGCTAAAACAGATCCCTGTGAAATATCATCATTTCAGCTATTGTTCGTCATAATTTGTGAAAATGACTTCATTTCCATTGCTACTTCAAACATATGTTATTTTCTACTATTCTATTACATTCTAGTATTGTTGTTGTTTTCATTCATATTGGACATTTCTGATTATTCCATACTTACCTATCTTATTTTCACAGTATTCTATTCCATGGAGCATACTAATAAACCAAAATATACAATCAATCACAAATACACATTATTCTATCTTTCCATACAGAATAATGATGATGATGATGACAAAACATCAACTATTCACAATCAATACTATTGAGAATAACTATTGTGAAGACTCTTGTTTGTTAATACTGCTCATTCCTTCTCTCAGCTTAGAACACGAACTAGCAACATTATTAGTTGTCACATTTAGCATGTGAATTCATTATAGGCTTTGATACAATTCATATCACACAATATGCACAAAAATGAAACACAACTATGCATATCTGAATATGCTAGTATTGATCAATTGTATGTTCAATATGACTAATGATTAACAGCAAATGATTATCGATATTTAGCAGAAATAAGAATCACTATTATAAGGACTAGTGATAATGGCTATACTATATTTATTGTAACAACAATACATGATCCTGGTTATAGTATTGCAAGATTAGCCAACTTTGTGTTGAATAGATTGAATAGACATTATGAAACTATGAGAAACATTATCCATTCACATCAAAAATCAGTTGTTTCGACTTATAGAGTTTTATCAAATGTTGATACTTGGATTGCCAATGATTATTCTCCAAATCAAGTGTTTCTTCTCACTATTTCTAAATCTGAAAAAGAGGTTGTTACTCCCAATTCGGATAATCTTTAAGTGTCATTTCGGAATATTTATTATCCTCGTGAATCAATCGTTTTTTGGAAACGAAATGTGTGCTTTAATCAAGTGACTCTAACATTTCAAATTGAAAATGATACAGAAATAGTACAATATCGTTTATCATAAGGGAAACATACTATAGATAAGATAGGTAGTGATACAAATAACAATGTAATCGGCGTGATACACGATTATCAAGCCCCACAATACATGTTCAAGTCTTTCCGTATATCCGCCATTCATACTAATTCAAGATATCTTAATAGTGTATATATAGAAGTGATTCTATTTGTGATAATCCATTATTTCCTTTTTATCAAGGATCAAGTATTCGTAGTATTGATTTGATTTGGTATTTGATCGATATTTACTCATCATAATGCCAATTTGAGCAACACCTATATGATTATCAAATGATATTTCGAATAGATTTGGTATATCTGAATTCTTGAGTTCTGTAAAAAATGTTGTAGGGATGAGAACGGTTTATCAAGAATCGTTCAAGAAGTCTCAACTTGTGAATTTATAGAAAGAGTAAATACCATCATCATTTAATACTAACAATCCATACATTAAACACATAGTTACAATCTAATTGTAATGAGTGGAACTGGAGGAAAGGCAAGAAGTAAGTAGTCTTGGAAGCAGGCTTCTTAGGCAGGGTCTTTCTGTCTCTCTTGACCATGAAGAGATTGCCGAGAACCAGCAGAACCACACCGATGATGATCAGAACAATTCCAATCAAGAAGTACAGATCCAGCTTATCCTCCACACAGAACGAAGTCGGAATCGCCCACGTAGCCGAAGCCTTGTCCTGGTTCAACACGCACGTTCGCTCGCTCACTCCCTTGTAGCCAGAGATCTGCGTGCAATCGTACGAATAGCTCTCGTTCGCGGCGGTTCGCGGGAAATCGGCCATCGCCTCGCAGTGAGGCACCTCCACAGTGAGGAAGATCGTCACGTTGGCGCTGCCAGCAGAGTTGCTCGCAGTCACCACGAACTCCGTGCGATCCAAAGCCGTCGCCGAGGTTCCATAGATAGCACCCGAATCCGAGGTAATGCCCATTCCCTCGGGCAGATCCGGCGAAATCGTGAACGACTCCACCGTTCCGTTGTACATAGCGCTCAATCCTTCGTAGTTCACGTTGGTGGTAACCACGATCTCCTTCTCCTTGTAATCCAGATTGGTCGGCAAGTCCAGCACGCACTCGTCCATCTTCAGAATCGACAGTTCGCCATTGCTGCAAGTACGATACGCCACACCGTGGTAGTTCTCGGGGCAGGGCTCTTCGTAGCGCTCTCCGTGAGCCAGCGAGATTCCCTCCACTCCCGAGCAACCAATCGGCGTGACCGTGATGGTCACGGTCGCCTGGGCGGAGCCCGCGTCGTTGCTCGCAGTCACAGTGAAGGTGTAGGTGTCCGCCTCCTTGATCGATCCGGCGATCACTCCGTTGTCCAGCAGCTGCAGACCACTGGGGAGCGAGGGGCACGAGAACACGTCCACCTTGTTCAACACAGAGGGCTCGATGCGGATCGCTTCCAGCGAGTCGCAGCTCATCGAAGCGGGCGAATAGGAGAAGCTGGAAGGAGCCAGCAGCGTGCATCCCTCGTAGTTGATGGGCTGGAACACGCCATTGACACACTCACGCGTCGCCATGCCCGAATAACCTTCAGGACACACAGCAGCCTCCGAGGTCGCTCCGTTCATCGCAGCAGGGAACTCGTCCAGAGCCTCGCAGCCATTATCTTCCACCGTGATGCTGATCGTCACCGACTTGGATTCCGCGCTGTTGGTTCCGGTAATCTCATAATCGGCAGCAGGCGAAGCCACAGTGGGCGTACCCGAGATGGTTCCGTCCTCACCCAGCACCAGACCCTCCGGCAGATCCTTGTTGCATGAGATCGAAGGGAACGCTCCGTCCGTCAGCAGAGAGATCGGGGTCAGTTCCTGGTTCGTCTTCAGCACGATCGAGCTCACTCCGTAGGTGAAGAAACCGCTCAGACGCGGCGTGCAGTGCTCCAGACTGGGCTCCTCGAACTCGCCTCCCATGCAGCGAGCCATCGCGTAACCCGTGTAGTACTCAGGACACACAGCCACCGAGTACTCGCCGTGGTTCGTGGCCAGATACTCATCCGTGGCCTCGCAGTTCACAACGATCGAGGTGAGAGAAATCTCGGTCTGCAGCGATCCAGCCGAGTTGGTCGCCGTGATGGTGTACTTGTTTCCAGTCTGCGTGCTCTGCAAAGCTCCGGAAATCACTCCAGTGGTGGGATCGAGCGTCAGATCGGCAGGCAGCTCGGGAGCCACGCTGTAGGACTCGACCGATCCGCTGACCGTGGGCTCGAAGGACTGCTCCTTCTGGTAGATGATGGTCACTTGGTTGTTAATGCCGTAGACCACAGCGATGGGAGGCAGCAGCGTGCACTGGTTGTCCTCTTCCTCCTCCAGCTGGTTGCCCGTCGGCGTCGACACGTAGTTACGATAGATGAAGCCAGTGTATCCAGTGGGGCAGGAAATGAACGCCTTGCTGCCCACGTACGCGCTCGAATAGTTGTCCTGCGAGGCGCAAATCTCAGCAGCCTTGGTGTTTCCGAAGTAGACCTCGGCCATTTCGATACCCTGCAGATTGGACTTGTAGGCCTCCAGCTTGTACATGTTGTAAGCCACCGTGTTCGTGAACGTGTACTCTCGGTTGTAGCCGTAGCCATTACCATTCTCCCAGGTAGGCTGCTGCGCCATCAACAACTGCCAGGTCGCACCATTATCGTTCGATCCGTACAGATCCAGATGCTTGGGACGACGATCCCAGTTGTTACCAGCATAGAAGCGAAGGTAGTTGATGATCACACGGCGGTTGTTGTTGTAGGTCCAGGCAACCCACACGTGGTACGTTCCAGACACAGCACCTGTGTTCAGGACGGTGAACTTGTTCTGTGTGTTCTTATCGAAAACGTTGGCGTTGGTCTCGTGCCATGTGGGGTCATCATAACCGAAATCCGAAGCGCTCATCGTTCCATCCACCACCAGATCGGTCGAAGTGTACACGAACTCCACTTCCACGTTGAACTCGTTCTCTTCAGGGACGCTGATCGTGTGGGTTTCCACGCACAGCACGTTGTTCTGGTTGGAGATGTGGCTCATATCGATCGAGATGCGAATGCCCGAAGCGGCCTCCGCCTCGGTCACAGGCTGCGTCAGATGGTCCGTCGGTCCCTGAGGCAGGTTGTAGCGAGCATTCTCCTTGTCATCGATGTACAGAATGAAACCTCCACGCGTGTGCACAGTCACATCCATGGTGGCATAGGGCAGAGCCGAGTACAGATTGAACGTGGTGCAGTAGTAGGCAGCAGTGTACTGAGGAGCAGGCATATCGGCGAGCTTGCTGGTCTGCCACTCGCCATTGAACGAACTCGTGTACCAGTTGGAAACAGGATCAGTGTTGTCCATCAGATAGCGCCAATCCAAATCATCGCTGTAGCCCTCTCGAGGGAAGAACGATTCCGTCTTGGGAGTCACGCTTCCACCCACAGTGAACGAGGTCAAAACCTTCTTGGAGGCCGTCAGAATCTCAAGACTACCCGGCCAAGCGACACGCGAATAATCCTTCATAGTGATCTGGTAGTTGCGCAGACCCAGGCAATAGGGATGATACATGTACAAAGCGTTGTTGTCAAACTCGCTGCGGCTACCCACCACAGTGCCCGAAACAGGATCCACCAATTCGTATCCCATGTAATAACCACGCGAGCCAGTATCGGTGATGTGGACATACACAAGGGACTCGTCTCCAGTGCACTGCTTGATATCAATGGCCACAGTGGTGTTGAAGGCCTCGCCGTTGATCGAGATACCGGTGATCGTGTACACACCCGAAGCGGTCTCGGTGGGAGTTCCGTAGATCGCTCCGTTGCTTCCGAATTCCAGACCAGCGGGCAGAGCGGGGCTCGCAGAGAACTCCTCGTAGTAGGGATTGGCAGGAACGATGGGCTCGATCGGGACGTTGACGATTCCACTGACAATGGCAGCAGGAGAGAAGGAGAGATCGGGAAGTACCTTGTCCGTGTTCTCCTCCAGAAAATCGAACAGAGCCAGCTCCACGGTGGTGTTCTCGGGCGCAGCCACAGCGGTGAACTCGAGCTTCATGCCCTGGATGGCCACAGGGTTGGAGAGGTAGAAGCACTGGCGCTGAGTACGCTTGGTCCAGTACACACCCGTGTAGGTTCCCACAGGGGTCCAGTTCTCTCCGTTCAGAGTGGACACAGTGAACGCAGAAGGCTCGTTACCCGGAGCGTTGGCAGCGGACACCAGACAGAACTTGTTCACTTGCTGGCGACGATACTGCGAATCCGTCCACTGGAACTGGAGGAAGGATCCGCTCAGCTCCGCGCTCCACTTGCTCGCGATGTTTTCGTTGAAAGCGTTTCCAGCAGTACCGCCAGAGGCAGAGAAAGTTAGCTGAGTTCCATGGGCGAGATCGGCAGTCGCCGCACGCAGATTCAGAGTGGTAGTGAAGTCAATGGCTCGCTCCGTGGCATCTCTGTTCACAACAGCAATAGCGAACACATTGCTTCCCTCCTTCAGGTAGTTGGCACCCACCAATCCGACGAGCACATGAGGCTTCAAGCTGTTGCTATTGATCGTGGAGGTGCTTCCAGAAGTCACCTCTCCTTCCACGCCCACACGGTACACTTCAACACCGTTCAGATACACAACCACACCCGCACGGCAGTTCATGTTCAGCTCGTAGCTGTTGTAGCCCTGGATGGTGTCCATCTCCACAGTCGAGCGGAACAGCCACACAGACTGCGACACCGTGTTGCCTTCGGTCAGAGTCGTCCACGAACCGCCGAACTCCACAGTGTTCCATCCCTCAGGCACCGTTCCGTCAGCCAGATAGGTCCACTTGTCCATCTCTCCGTTAATCAAGAACTTGTTCGAGAACGTGATGCGATCGCCGTTTCTCATTCCAGAATACACTCCAATGAAGAAGCTCGCCGCAGTGTGCGTGTAGGTGTTCAGCGTGATGGACGATCCGTCCACCCATTTCTCAAATCCATTCTCCGTGTGGAAGACCATCTCATAACTTCCTTCAGGCAGACAGAAATAGTCGGTCTGGGAGGTCGACGATGTGTCACTTCCAGTGTAAGAATTGTACACTTCGATCAGATTGACCGACTCCACGACTTCTCCATTGGACACGATATCGTAGCTCTGGCGAGCACGGCGATTTCCCTTGATCGCATCGATCTTCACACGACGATATCCATTGCCCAAGCAGGTATGGAAGTTGATAGAGACCACACCAGTCACAGGCTCCTCCACACCCGCCAGCGTAGCCGACACGGTGTAAGTCTTCTGACCCACCTCCACACCCGAAGGCACGGTTCCCGCAATGAGACCGGAGTTGGGGTTGATCGACATGCCGTTAGGGAGAGCGGGGGTGATGCTCCAGTCGGAGAATCCCTTGGCGACGGTTCAATATTCTACTACTGATAACTATCACATTGATAGTTCTATTATTCAAAATGTGCAGGGATGCTTGGGTAAAGAAATGACACCAAATGGCTGGATTTCACTCATATTGAGTAATAGAGAATGTGTAGTATTGAAATTCGATAATGGAGTATTCATGAATCAAGGATTTGTGGTCAATGAGCAGAAAGTGTTGAAAGTGTTTGGAAATCATCAAATTGGTGCTATTTCATATAATGAAGAACAATCCATAGAAGTAGAAGGAATCGTGGATTTGGATCATGGAAGTCGATTTGAAGGATTGGTATTGGCAGAAAACAAGTTGGGAATTCCATTTGGATATGGTGAAATGTATGATGATGATGGAATATTGGTGTACAAGGGCATAATGATCAATTGGAAACGATTTGGATATGGAACGAGTTATCATAATAATGGATGTATTGAATATGAAGGATATTGGTGTGATGATAATCGATTTGGAATTGGAAAAGTGTATGATCGATATGGCAAATTAGTGAATGAATGTGAATGGTGCAATGGAAATGAAAGTATTATTGAATATGTAGGAAATGGTTCAGAACCACTGAATATCGGAATGAAACATTTGACACTGACTGACAATTGTGTATTGGTTGATTGGGATGTTTCATTGTTGTATAATTTGGAATCAATCGAAATCGGCAATGAATGTTTTGGATCGGTGAAAACATTCAAAATCGATGGATTGAATCGATTGAAAACTATCAAAATCGGATATAATTCGTATATGCAAGTAAAGTAGGATGGCATTGAGGCTAAAGATGTTGGTGATTTTGATCTGTTGGATAAGGTCAACAACTTATTGAATTGTGAATCATTGGAATCTATTCAAATTGGCACAATCGAAAAGGATCCATACAATTTCTATTATAATTCATTTGCGATTCGAGGTATTGATATGATAGAGAATGTTTGAATGATTAACTCTATTAAAGTTGTTATCCATTTTTTTAGTTGGTAATTGTTTCATATATCCTCGTTCTGTGACATTGGAAAGAATACTTCTTATTGAATAGAAATAGTAGATATTTCTTGTCTTCGAAATATCAATTGACTTAGTTTATTCGAGTATGTTTATTCAGTATTGATGTCAAGGTTAGCATGATTAATGTGATTTCACTATAGATGTTTCCTTAATTTTCGTTTATCTTGTCCACAAAATCAAACAGTAATTCCCACAATGCAATATCACACTTTATTCCAATAAATCCATTAATTACTGTATTTTGAATGCTTACTCTGTTTGTTTGTTCCAAATCCCTTGCCATCATGCTCTTGTCATTAATATATAATTCAATAATCCATTGACTCGTTTCCATCAACACAACCAGAGTAAACTAGCTAACATGGTTTAATTATTCGTGTAACGATGTTAAGAAAGAGAATAGCAGAATTGTTGAGTAATGAATAAGTCAAACTGAAATAATCGAGTTTTGTTAAGGATTCAATATATGAATATGTCTTACATAGCTCATTACTAGAAAAATGAACGATTGAAATATGACTACCGACTGAATTAACTATATAAGTTATTCGACAGTCTTAAAGTATAGTTATTTTATTCTATCATTAATGAATAAGAATGGAATTCGTTATTCTTATCTCACGTAACGCTGAATTGCAATATTCGATATTAATGAATATGAGTTTAAATTTCCTAAATACTTAAGGAGTTTATATTCTTGACGAATTATCAGTTTGTTTAATTATCTGCAGACTGTAGTGTTATTTAAAAATAATACAATACGAAAACGATATAATCAGAATGTATTGTAGTAATCATTATATATCTGAGTATAGAAGGATTCATCAATTGATTACGCAAATGAATTGAATAAAAGTTGATTCATACTATATTCATACAATTATTCATAGCAATTATGCTACTATATCGATGTATACACCAGAGTACTCTGCTTTTAATGTCCTAAAAGTGAAAATGTAATTTCTTTTCATCTCGAACCTATATTAAAACACATATGAATACCAGTATTCTTATTTTTGACAATGATTCAGCCATATCTTAATAGTTCAGTGATTTTCGTAAGTGTACTCTTTGTTTACAACTATTTAATATTGTTTTTTATGACTATAATATATGCGTTTCTTTTTTATTAATTACACTTAGTTAAATTATTTCACACACTCTGTATTGTTTACTAATTTTATGTATCAACATAAAAAGGATAGTTCTCCACATTTCTCTATTTATAATGTACAAATTAGTATTGTTTGTATCTCAGGAAACACAACTCTTAGTCAAAGCTTGATATTGCTTTCTATGTACTCCTGTATTCACTCTGTTAGTTTCTCAAACACCAGATTCACTGATTTTTCAAAAACCTTTACCTATTAAGATATATTCCCCACTAGTACTACCTTTCATCTGCGTTTAGTTTGATGTTTTAAGTGACTGAATATCTTGTACCAGTAAGTTCTTTTTTAATGATAGATATCTTGTTTTGTTTTTCATCATACCCTGCTGTCATTCTGCATTTTGTTATTCTTGGTATGTCCATGAAAAAGCTCCTTGTAAGAAATCAACATGGGAATCCAAAGTGATTGATATACATCCAAAAGAAATAACGGTGATAATTCTTAATGTGTTTTTTCATTTGATAAATTGAAAATTGATTTCAACTATTTTCTTTCATCCATATTTTTATTACTATCATGTTAACTCATAAATGATTTTAGTTTATTATCTACATTTGTGAATATGATATATCTCTTTTTTTATTCTTCTCTTTAATGAAGATGTATTTATTCAAACACACTCTTCACACAGAAATACGTATAGGTTGATATCGCACATATCTCTCATTAATATGTATCTCATTTATGGTGGATAGATCTAGTGTTGTCTCCAGTAGTGCAGCCAAAACAGTCTTGTAACCAGAAGAAGGACAGCTTGTCACTGGCATGAAATCTATTTACACTGGCATCTCTATATAATCATCAACAATACAGTTTTTATTATTTGTCAGAACAACATTTTCACACTCTAAATTTATCATATTCGTGCCATTCATTTTCATATCTAAGCTCAATCACACCATTGTTATATATACTGCATTTCATACTTCACTCCAGTAATATATGCTTGTAGAAGAAAAATATTACCAGTGTGTGGTTGTTTAAATCAAATAGGACAGTATTTCACTTGACTCGTAATCATCGCTATATCTCATTATCCACACACAACGGATAACACAAGGGCTATAACTATTCATTTCTATAAACATCTAACCCCATAAAGTGTACTTGTTTCCATGGTAAGGGATGGCATATCGCTAAGAAAAAAACAAAATTATATGGATCAGCATCCACAAAATGAAAGCGAAAGTGAAGAATTTGAAACCACATCATTCATGTCAACATCACACTCCCTTTGTGTGTGATACTCTCAATACAAAGTTGTAAAATGTAAATACCAAACCATTTTAGCAAGACATACCTTCTTTTCAAGAAACTAGTTTGCAGTTCTGTCACTTCACACTCGACTTTTTAGAAATGAAAACTAGTTGTCACAAACAATATGTAAAGAACAATAAAGTGTTAGAAACCCATTTCAGATAACCATTTGCGGATATCTTGTGTGTGGTGCCCTTGCACGTGAATACTACCTTGGTGTATCATAACATCACTGTCAGGACAAACCTTACGGATTTCGGAAGCCATTTCCTAAGAGTAACAACAACAAGCGAAAAAAACGTTCACATCACCTTCAATTCTTCTAACAACAGTCAAAATTTGAGATTTGTTATTTCTATATTCTATGTGTAAGTAGAATGCCAAAATCAAAAACCTGTATATACTGGTAAATTCTTTCCCGGAGATGTTCTCGTCACCTATGAATAAGCATTTCTACGCCTGATAATACAGCGAAAGGGGCATTCACCTTTGATGTGTATTTTATTGGTTCTGGAGCTATCGGAGAATCCGCTTCACTCTTTGAACCCAGCCATTTGGGTCTGCCAATCAATCTGCGGATTTGGCGCTTGGAAGGACTGTTGTATCGCAAGACATTAACAAGCCGCATTACTGGATACCGCTCCATGATAATAGCAAACTCTAGTTTGAGAAACGCAGCTTTTTGCTTTTCCCTTAATTCCAATATTCCTTCGTTTTTTCTATCCCTTCTTTGCTTTGGGGAAACCGCACCCTGCTTTTTTCCTTTTCCTTTCCGTGACTCATTTTTGCAACAAACAGACCAAAAGAAATACCCAAAGTTATTCTCAATCACATCACAAGCATGCTTCAACAGCTGTTGCGCTAGCTTCCACCCCAATGTCACTTCACCGAAATTTAAATCCAGATCCACAGTTTTCTCAAACATCCTCCGAATTTGTTGTCTACGCCTCACCCCCTCCTTATTCCCTCACATCCCATTCACAAAATCACACTGGCATCCCGCCACCTCCATCCAGAGCTCTACAGCCTGCTCTGCGAAATCTTGACAAATCGCCATAGCCAGCAAAAACTGTAGCGAAAAGCAGAACGGGAAGACATTCAACTGACTGACTTTGCACATCACCGCGTACGACTTATTTATCGAGCCCAATCCCTCGAACAAAAACTTCATTAGTGCATTGCGGTTCTCTCTTTGAAGAACGATATCAAGCCTATTTTCGAGCAGCAAATACGAAACGGTGGTAAGCCGATTGATTTGGACCTGCGAAATGGATGTCGAGTAGAGTTTTCGCTTGAACAAAAGTTCCTGAAAGACGAGTTTCTGCTCTTGAAAGAGTGAATCGTGCTGCAGAAGCTCGCTCGCCTGCGACTCTGTGAGTTTCTACATCGAAGCCAAGCGAAATCGCAACGAATGCGGGGTAGAGCGCGAAGCAGACGGCCGCATCGAACTGCTTCGCTTGGAAGCAATGCGACACGACGTCGAAGCAAAGCTCGTCGATCCTGTGCTTTCGCAGCTGAACGAGCGGCCACTTCCACGGCTCCTCGCTGACCGTTCGCACCAACGTCAGCGTTAACAAGTCATAACAAGAGGAACGGAAAGCGAAGCTCATTAAGCCGCCGTCGCCGTCGATCCAATTCAAAACGTTTTGCTGCGAGATCGAAAGAGCCGAGGAATAGAGAGAGGGAGGAGCGATGCTTTCTAAAAGAACTTCGGCGATTGCAATCGAGTCGGCTGTGTCGAGAGTCGGAATCAAAGGCAAAAAGATCGAAGTCAGGTCTGAAAATGTGGAGTATTTTTGGAATTCCGGAAAAAGGGAACGCGAGGGAAAGAGCGAATGGAGAATAAAACCCGTGATTTCTGGAATGAAGGGAGTGCTCCGCAGCTCCATCACTTTGACCAGGTACAAAAGCAATTTGGCCATCGGTAGAGAAATAGCCGATTTCTGGAATTCCACAAAGAGGTCCAAAATCCGCTGTAGCAACAACGAAACAGCGTTCTTGTTGCTGATTCTCCAATTCTCCACTATTTTCTGGAACAGCTCCATAAAGACCGCAATTCTCTCCTTTTTCTGGAATTCCAGAATTTCCTTCAGCACCTCCTCGACGAGAGACAACAAAATATCGTGCTTGTCGACATGGTAGACGGGCTCGAGAATGCTGATCGCGGATTGGATCACCGCGATGTCCAGCCCGCTTTCGTACGCCTCCAGAACGATTTGCTCGAGCGGCTGGCGCACGTGCAGCTCGAAGAAATTGGTCTGGAGCTGGTCGGTGACGTTCTGGCAGCCCTGCAGGTGCGAATAGAGCTCGGCTGCGTCTTTGTTGTCGTCTGCGTTTGTGAGGGCGGCGAGAGCCGCGTCGACGAGGAGACGGCGTGAGGAGAGGAAGGAGGGCTGCATGATGGAGGCGCATTCAGAAGAGAAAAGGCAGCGATCGACGAGAGAAAGGAGGTCGGAGAGGGGAAGAAGAGGGAGATAATCGGAGACAGAGGAGACGGCGAGGTTCCAATTGAAGGCTACAATGAGAGAGAAGGCAAAAAAGCGACTCGGTTTGGACTGCGAATCGAAGAGAGTCTTCACCACGAAGCAGTGGTAGGCGGTGGATTCGGGGATGGAGAGAAGCGAGCAGACAGAACAGAGCTTCGCGAGCGAGGATTCGGTGATTTCCTGTCGAAGGAAGTCCGTGAAACGCTGCTCGTCGAGGTCAATGGCGAACGGAGGCTGCGAGGAAAACGTGATGAACTCGCTCCAGTAGCGCATGAAGCCGAGATTGCTCAGCGTCATGAGAATCTGCTGGAGCTTTTGGATGAGGGGCGAGGCGGAAGGCTCATAACGAAGAATCTCGTTAAAGAGAAACTCCAGAGCGACGCTTGCGCCTTTGAAATGATTCAATAAATGGTAGAGGAAGGCGTGGTATTCGTTTGGATCGATAGACTCGAGATGTTCGACCACTTTATACTGGGAAAGCTCGTCGTGAATCACACGTTCCGAATCCATCGAATCTATTCTTCACCTCATTCGCTTTCTGCCCACTCTTCAGCACGTTCTCCATGTAAGTCTCGAAATACACCGACTGGCTCCACTCCGAGTTCAGCTCCAGAATCGAAAACACCGACTGCACCGCGCGTTCATTCCTCGACGTCAAGTTCTGCAGCAGAATCGCCTGCATCAGCGCCGAATTCACCAGGCATCGCAGCACGTCGTTCGAATCGCTTATCTGCAGCGCGTCCAGCTTCCAAAGCGTCTCGTACTGCACTGCAATCGGCGAGGCGAGCGCGTCGGAGATCGCGAAGCTTCGAATTGCGTGTTCTTTCCAGACCAATTCGCAGAACATCCACCACTCAAAAAGCTGAATGACGGCATGAACGGGCGCGCGGAGATCGCAGCAAATGGAAAGAAGCGAAGCGAAATGGGGACGAAGGGAGGGGAAGAAGCGAATCAGACTGAGAAGCGCGGCCTGGCTTTCGGGGTCGGGACCGAGGGAGGCGAGGAGCGTGTTGGCGAGGTGATCGGGGTTTTGGAGTGTGTGGAGGGAGCGAATGGAGAAGGAGCGAATGGATTGGTCGATGGAATTCGCAGGGGAGTGGAAAGAAAGGGGAGGGAAGAAAATGGAGGAAGTGGAGGAGAAGGTTTTGGATAAGAGAGGATTCGAAGCCTTGAAAGACGATTGGGGATCGCGCGGAATCGATTCGTTCCCCTTCCAATAGGAGAACGCAAAGCGGTCGAATGGATAGCGCGATTGCGTCGTGGACTGTAAGAACGAATCGTAGATCGAGCAGAGAATCGGCAACTGCTCAACACTCGCGAATCGACTCGCAAATCTGCGCGTTTCACCACAATTGCGGGGCTCCTACTTCAATGTTTTCTCGATCGATGGAATGGTTTTCCGGCTTTCTTCCTGACTCAACACATCCAGAATCGTCTGCACCAGCGTCGAATGCTCCGCTTCGGTCATGGTCTCCACGATTCTTTCTTTCTGACACACCGCGTCGATCATCCAAGCCGCTTCTTTCCAATTCCCGTCGTCACACGCCGCTTGAGCGAACTCAACGAGCGTCTACCAATCAAAAACAGCTCCCGCAAGCGACCCAGCAGATCAGATAGCGATTCAACCCCAAATCTCCCAACACGCGCGATAAATACCCGGCATTGCTGGTGAATACCTGGTCACTCAGCGTGTAGAATTGGCTGTAAAGAGAGAGAAGGTACTGCGCAGGGCTTTCCACGTCGCACGAGATCGACATGCTGGAAGTTGTGCTCGCAGAGCGGAGCTTGGCAGTGTCTTCGCTCACCTGGGAGCGCTGGTTCCATTTCGATACGATGAGAGAAAACTCGAGCGGAACGAAATGAGGCGTGTAGGAGGCCAAGAGAATCAACGCAGACACTGCGAGTGAGTAAATTGGATGGTTTGAAACGTACAGTAATAGCGATAATCGTTCACTTCGTTTGAGTCCTGTCTCACTAAATTCAAATACGATCGACTATCTTCCAGCTGCGATTTGACCAAACTATATCTTACAATGCGATCGTTCTCTCACCAGCTCATCGACTTCACGCCTTCGTCCACGCCGTGAAGCACGGTGAAGTTCATCCAGTCCTGCTGCACGGAATGAGTCAAATCGGAAGCCGCATTCAACGCGTCAGACGAGCGATTTCGCAATAAAATGCGCAACATAATGTAGTTCTTAATTCCTTTCGGGAAGAACGAAAGCGGATTCACGAATAAAGAAGAGACAAAGGAATCCACCTCTTTCGGAGAACTGGATCCAAGTTTCGATTGGGCTGCATCGCTCACAAATGTGAGAAGGGGCAGTTCTAGCATGGCTTCGATTTGCTGGGAGGAAGCTGTGTTAAAATCGATGGGATTGGATTGGATCCACGCCTCGGCTTCAAGGAACGAATCTCGCAATTTCGAAAGATGGAGATTGGAAAGAGAGGAGGCGAGTTGCGAGTAAAGAGAGACGAGTTGTGCTAAGAAGGAGAGTTGTTTGCGCTGCTCGCTTTCGAGCAAAGAGGATTCTTGCAATCGGCGACACACCTCCAGACTCACAGTCAGCATTTCGCTGCTCTTCGCCAGCGCGTCGTTGAATAGAATCGACTGGAAGAAGTCTACGAACTCGGTCAGGTCTTTCGAAAGCGCCGAGCTCATTCGATGTTCGATAAAGTAGTTGATGTAATCGACAAACAAAAACACTTTGGAAGGATCCGCGTCCAGGGTAGACTGAATGTATCGATACACGATCTTTTGCTGGAGCAGATAGCGAGAATCCAACAACTGAATCACCTGAATGAAATCGGATCCCGCGTGAGACAAAAACAAATTCATGATTTCAGTCGAATCCAATTTCACCCATTGCGACAGCGTGATTGGATTCGAGTCAGCCAACAAATCCGTCGCATACGAAATATCCAGATTATGCTTCAAGTACAACAAAAACAAATCCAGCTGCTCCTTCAGCGCCTCCAATTTCGCGTAAGCCGCATCTCCCCGATACGCCGAATTCACCGAAATCGCCAACTGCAGCAGTTCCTTCGACAGCTCCGTCAGCCCCGTTGCGTCGTCGATCTTCTTGCAATCCGCTTCGATCCACGCGGCAAACCTCGCAAAGTCGCTCTGCGCGATGGCCTCCGCCTGCACCGCCTCAAACGCCGCAATGAATTCGTTCACGATCGCCGCCTCGCCGCTCCGCGGCTGCAGCACTTCCAGAATTTCCTTCTTTTCGAACCACTCCACCTCCGCGTAGTTCAGCGTGTTGATTTTCTGGATCGATTTCCCGTCCCAGAACGAAAACACGCCGGGACTCGGCGCGCCATCCTTCTCTCCGAACGCGGGGAGAAAGCGGAAATACGTCGACGGGTCGGAGACCAGCGGGAAGCGAGAGACGATTTCGTATCGATAGGGAAGCGTCAATTGGGGAAACGAGAGAAACAGCTTTCGCAGACTCGCGTGTTTCCCCTCCTGCGCGAATTGCAGCGCGAGTTCGCGGATGGGACGTCGCGTGTAGAGCGCGAACTCCTTCAAATCGAGGCCTTCGGGCAGCGAATCCTCCGCTAACAATTTGTTATAGAACTGGATTCGGTTCAGTTTCGCGCAGATTAAAAACTTGCACAGCACCACCTCGCGGAGCGTCGCGTCTTTCTCCACATCCTCCTTCGTATAGCTATAAAAGCACGCCTTCGCGCTGCTCAAATCGTCGACGCCTCGCTTCTCGAACACATAGAAGTTCTTCGAACGCAGCCATTGATTGCTCGCTCGCAGCCCGCTTTTCAGAAGATTCATCATCGCCTGGCGGTTCGAAAGCTCCGTCGAAAGACACTCGCGGAGAACGTACAGTACGTCGTGGATCTTCGACAGCACCGACTCCACGCGACCCGCTTCGCTCCGCTCCACCACATGCGAAGCAGGCCTCAATTCCCCGCGGGCGATCGCCGAGAGCGAAGGAAACTCCCCGAAGAGCGTGCACCACTGATACTTGAATCTACATCGCACGATCCCCGCGGTTCTACACTAAATCCTCGTCGAACTGGCGGCGTTTCGCGAGCTGCAGCGCGGTTCCGAACTCTTTCGAGCGAATGCATCGCACGAACTTCTCCCAGGGCGTCACTTCCTCGACGCTCTGCAGCGCGTACGCGTTCGCGATCACGTGGCCGCCCTCCGCGTCCCTCATCCACTCCCTCTGATTCTCCAGCACCAAGCAGAACGCCCGGCTCGCCCCGGTCTCCACGGAGGCCACGCACGCGCCGTCCGAGAACTGCACTCCGTCCTCGCCCAGCTCGTTTGCCCAGTCCGACGTGCGCAGCAGACCCACGTTTCCCTGCAGATTCGACACCCACAGCAGCTCCTCCGTCGCCCACTCCGCCCAGTTCACACGCGAAACGTCCAGCGGATCCGTCACAGACAGCGCGGCAATGCTCGTTACCGCGCTCTGTGCGTCGTCCACCGCCTCTTCGTAGCGGGACGACACGCATCCTTCCTTCAAATCCACGATCAAAACCCGCCCATCGCTCACCACCACCGCCGCCGTTTCTCCGTTTCCACGAATCGACAGCCAGCGAATCGCGGGAATCCGGTCGGTTCCCCGCGGAGTCCGCAGAAACGCCCGCCAGCGCGCGATGAACGGAGCGGCGTGCCGCGTGATCGGGTTTCCGGCGAGCGTTTCGAGTCGAACCGAATCCACGACCGAGGAATTCCCGATAGAAATCTCGGCAATGCCGAGCTGGTCGTCCGGGTCGGCGGTAGGCGAAACGCCCGCGACGGTGGCGGCGATGAAGAGGGCGGAATGGGCTTCGGTTTGGACGCAGCGCACGTGGAAGGGAGGAGCGAGGAAACCGGCGAGGGAAACGGGGAAACCGTTGGCGGAAATCGGGGCGAATTGGGTGGCGCGGGGGAGGGAATTGTTCCGAATTCGCTGGGAGTGAGGGAGGAGGAGGGGAGAGAAACGTCGCAGAGAAGGTCGCAGACGTAGAGCTGGCCGGTGGGATCGAGCGCGAAGAGCCAGAATTGATTGGATTGGAGGGAGTAGGACGCGAAGGTGGTGTAGAGCAGCGCGGTGGAAGGTGGTGTGGAGGAGGAAAAAGGGATGGTCCCTTTGAATAGGCGCTGTGTGTTGTTGTAGATCTGGGAATGAGGGTGGATTGTGGGAATACGAGGATGGAAGAATCGAAGCGATTTGACAAGAGAACGAGTGTATCGCTTAGCCATAGAATGTGGATATCGCCACGTTGTCGTCGTTGTGTTGCTTCTTTCAATGCCAAGTCTTCTTTGTAGCTGATCTCCCATACATCTTCCTCTGTATTCTACGCGTTATTCTATTTACAAAAACTCGACGTGTAACATGTAAAAAGTTGAGAGTGTACACAGAGCAGCCAATTTACCATTTGGCGATAACAACAATTCAGACGGAAACTCAATATCAATCTAGAATCAAAATAATCATCAAACGCGACGTATTGATCTTCTTTCAATTTTGATAACTCCTGGTACCGATCCGTGTATTCAATCCTCCTCTCTGACTTCTTTAGACCAGGCGGCCTCTTTTCATCGAGTGCAACATCCAGAGCCGTTTGAATATATCTAGACGAGTCACAGATGCGAAAGGCATACAAGTATTCACTGTTAGAACGTTCGCCTGGCATTTCACCAAAGCAATCAAAGATATTTTGGAATTTCAACTGTATCCACCCATTTTTCTATGTTCATACATCCAGTTCGATATAATTGCACTCTCTAATTCTGCGTAGATGGCTCTATTTTCGCTTCAACATATTATGAGTTTGGCTTTGTAATGCTTCATAGTCGAGTTGTAGTATACAGCAAAGCACGTTGATCACAATCCCAAGTTCGATTCTCACGCCTCATCGATTTCTTTTATTATTTGTCTATATTGGATATCGCTTCAATCCGTTTTATTCTGAAAATTGCAATTACCAATGTCTCAGAATATACAGAATGGGAAACAAACCGGAAGTGGAGCAAATACCTCTGGTGTAGACAGTTCGGAGATTCTATGCCGTGAGTTTGAAAGACTGTGGAATTTCATCGATCACTCTCTGGAATGCTATACTGTAAGCTAGTTTATCTCTCGTTTGAAATAGGCTGAGCTTTTTGACTTTTTCTCGACTGCACTTGAAAAGTCGATCCTGTACCTAGCAAAAGACCGTCGCGAAGATGCTTATCGCCTCTTCAAGAAGTTTCAATCCCTATTTTATTTACCGCACGAGGGACGATACTACGAGATTGTGAATTTACTTTCTTCCGACGTAGGATTCTGGTTTTGCGCTTAATTCAGAAACGGTCTGGTGATAGACAAATCCAATATATGCAAAAGCTAATAACAATGCACAAGATGACATATATCGTTCTCCATTCCTTTTTAAACGAGGTTCCATGTCACACAATCTTAGACATTGAAAACAAAGTTCGATCTCGCTCTTCCCTTAATCCTAGTTTATTCGCTACGACATCGTCGACACTCCCATCGAAATCAAAAGTACGCGTCTACTCCACCCCTTATTACCGCCCAGAAATCCCCTATTACGAATTCCAAAACGAACTTTCCACTCCTCTCCCCACTTCCCAGTCCTCTCTCTCGCTCCTCGTCCCTCCCAACGCTCTCCTCCCACCTAGAAATCCCCTCCTCCCTCCGTCTCCTTCCTCAACATCGCTCTCGCCGACTTTGTCTCCCAATTCGACTCCCACATCATCCGAATCCGCGTCAGTCCCGACGGCTCCTACGTTTTCCTCCTTTTTTCTTTCTCCCATTCAGATCGCCTGCACCACCGAGAACGGCTTCTTCCACCTCTGGAGCTGCGCTCCGTCCGCCTCGCAGCCCACTCACCACCTCCTTCTCGGCCACGCCGACGTCGTCACCGACTTCGACTTCTCCCGCGACTCGCTCTACCTTCTCTCCTGCGCCCTCGACGGCTCCATCAAGCTCTGGTCCACCGAGCTCCACCGCTGCCTCGTCAACTACCGCAGCTTCTCCGTACCGCTCTGGCACATCCGCTTCTACCCCGAAAACTCCTGCTTCGCCTGCATCGGCGGCCGCGGTATGATCTACAACTACAACACCAGCGACGTCCAAATGGTCAACCGCATTCTCCCCCGCATGACCATCGTCACCGCTCTCCTCCTTCTCTCCGACACCACCATCATCGGCTATCGCAACGGCGACGTTCTTCTCCTCCGACCGTCCGGTTTCTCCGTTTCTACTATTTAGAAACAAGCGCATCGCGGTGAACGGCTTCGGAAACGCCGTCACGTCGCTCTCCTTGGTGCAGAACGGCGCGTTTATCGCCGTGGGGTACGTCGATGGGCTCTTCCGCGTCGTGGACTTGGAGGGCCGCGCGGTGATCCGTCCGCAGCGTGCGCACAGCAAGGCGATTCGTCGAATTCTGTGGAAGAAAGACCGCGAATTGATCCTGACCTTCGGAGAAGACGGCGCCATTCGCGTGTGGAGGCTAGAAGTAGCGGCGAGGAGGGATGTGAAGGGTAGGAAATAGCGAGAGTGGTGAAGGATGGCGAAGAAACGTTTCAGCATTATTCGTTCCAGGAGAATAGGGAGATGATTGAGCCGAAGGTGGAGTTCACGATGAATTTGGTGAAGACGTACACGGTGGAGGGAATGGAGCTGCTGGAGGCCGTGGAAGTCAAGCGGGGGTGGATTTTGGTTGCTGGGACAATGAAGGAGGCATTGTGTGTTTGTTGGAAAAAATGATGGATAATTGGGTTCAAGTGAGTGTAATCGTTGTTGATATTGTTCTTTTATCAAGATTGAAAGCAACATGAAGAATTTTGATAAAATGAGTTCTCTCCAAATTCTCAAAATTGCCAGAGGGATTATCCCTCCATTGACAAGTAGCTTGCATAAAGGACAGCTCGGAAAGATCGGCGTTATTGGGGGATGTCTGGAGTACACCGGAGCTCCTTTCTATGCAGGAATATCGGCTATGCGTGCGGTACTGCAAATGTTTTTATATTGAATACCTAGGGAGCTGACTTAGTTACTGTCATCTGCTCCGAAGAAGCCGGAATTCCTATCAAATGCTATAGTCCCGAATTGATTGTGTATCCAGTGATAACCTTATCGAAAGAAATGTAGTGTTAGATTCGTTGTGTTTTAACTAGGGATTCTGAAAGTCGGGTTAATGAGCTGGCGGTGCTGAACATTGAAAGAGTGAAAAAGCTATTCCCTAGACTCGATTCGATTGTGATCGGTCCCGGAGCAGGGCGTAATCCTTCAATGATCCAGACTCTGAAAGGTCTCATTCTGTATGCGCTCGAAATCAAGAAGCCATTAGTGGTTGATGGAGATGGTCTTTGGGTGCTTACTCAATACCCCGAAATCTTCTCCGACATTGACTTTAAAACACAAAACGTGATTCTGACTCCGAACCAAATGGAATTCACGCGTCTCTGGAATCGTGTCATGAACGAAAACCAAAATCCCTCCGATCTCACACAGACCGACGAATTTGTGCGATCCCTCTCCTCTGCGTATTCCCCACTTCATGCCCTCTTTCCATAGACTCCACGGACCCGCCATTCTTCAGAAAGGCGCCATCGACCGCATTTCGGATGGCAGCGAAGTGGTTTGTAACGACAGTCCGGCTTCTTTACGGCGTTGTGGAGGGCAGGGAGACATCGTGGCAGGCGTTGCAGGGCTCATGAATTTGTGGTCGAAGCGGGCAGAAGCGGGCGAGATGAGCGCAGCGATGCGAGCGGCGATAGCGACGTCGGGGATTGTGAGAGAAGCGGGAAGACGCGCGTTTGAACGAGAGAAACGAAGAATGACGGTGATGACGGTGATTGAAGAAGTGGGAGAGACGGTGGAGGAAAAAGGGGAAGAGGAGTGAATGGAGTGTTGGGTGTGTTGTGTTTGTTGAGAAGAAAGGAAATGGATGATGGGTGGAAACAATGATATTATTGGTGGTGGAAAAGAGGAGTGTGTTGAATATGGGTAAATGATTTAGGAGATGAAAGGGAAATAAAAAGTGGATATGAATAGGACTGAAAATGTTTTTTACGGAATTGCAAATTCTGTAAATTGGTGTTTAAAATGAAACAAGATGTCTTAATAGCAACTTATCACTGAAAAAAGCATCTAATTCATCATATTACTGCTTGACTTATTAAACACGATTAGCAAGAGCAGGAGCAACATCTATGAGTGAAATGAAGTCAATCAAACAATACTTGAAATTGATTTCCATCGAATATAAATGAAGGGGGGTAAAATCTCTTTGGTATTAGAAGAATGTGAAGATCGCTTATATAGATCGACATTTTGAAGATTTGGAATATCTAAATACATTCATTATTCAATATTCAGAAATACTTGCCAATGTCACAATACGAGGATAACAGAAACCACTTCCTTTAGAAATGAGGGATGTTAGATTTGGAAGATCTACATTCTATCATGTCGAATCAATTCATTATTACTTCGCATTATTAAGGAACATAATATTTCATATTTTCTTCCTTGAAGTGCACCTACACCGAGATGAATGGATTGTAATGATGGAAGATCTACATCAATCATTTCTTTCAAATTCATTCAATACTTTCCATTTTTGTTGATAAGGATTCACAGAATGCATAATTACCTAATGTAATGGATTGTAGATTTGGAAGATCTATGCATCATTCAAATATTCAATATCATATCAATACCTCGAATCACAAATGAACTACCCCAGAAATTGTATGATTTCAATCCATAGTAACCAATTGTCCCTATTTGAATGGATTGTAATTGTGGAAGATTCCTCAATTCAAAGTCTCCAGCAAAATCACTGAAACTATATCGACCAATTTGAATGGATTCCAATGATTCACAATTCAATATGTGGAATGATTTTGATCTATTATTTCCGAGATCATACTTTTCCCGGGTAAATGAATGATCTCCGATTATCAAAGTTTTCAATCGATGCAATCCATCGATTTTGAATGTTTGTACTGATTCAAAACAATAACTACCTATTCCAATTGATTGTAACCACTTGAACTGATTCAGATCCCATGAAATCAAATCGTTACAGCTATTCGAACATATCAACAAGTCCGTCACTTTCACATCCAGTTCATTCAATTCAGAACTATCATATATTTCGATTCGTTTCATAGGTATGTCCAGACTCTTTTCTTCATTCTTTATACAAATAGGATCTTCATTCTTTCCCTCACCAGGATCTTCGTCGTCTATTTCAGTTAGATCTTCGTCGTCTATTTCAATTGGATCTTCGTCGTCTATTTCTGTTGGATCTTCGTCGTCTATTTCAGTTGGATCTTCATCGTCTATTTCAGTTGGATCTTCGTCGTCTATTTCAATTGGATCTTCGTCGTCTATTTCAATTGGATCTTCGTCGTCTATTTCTGTTGGATCTTCATCGTTTATTTCAATTGGATCTTCGTCGTTTATTTCTGTTGGATCTTCGTCGTTTATTTCAATTGGATCTTCATCGTTTATTTCTGTTGGATCTTCATTATTCGATCCATTTTGAATATCGTTTTCCACTCTATTCACATACCAACCTTCACACAAGTCAATTCCTCCTTTCTTTTCTTTTCCATGTTCCCATTCACTTTCACGAATTGCTGTTCCACTTGCTTCATCAATCAAATATCCCAAGCCATGTCGCACATATTTTCCATTTTCTATACAATATCCTCCAACATAGATGGGAATTCGATTCAATAAATCCACATTTCCATTTTTACTATTGTTTTCAGCATATTCAATCATTTTCTTTTTATCAGCATCAAATTCACGAATGATTCGAATCAATTTGTCTTTCGACCAATATCCTTCTATCTTTTCTTTGCCATCATTTTCCTTATCATATTCGATTCCATAACCATCTCGATTCATTTCTTCATCGAATCCACCTCGAAAGATCACCATTTCATCATCATCATTCTCTTCATTGCTTTCACATTTACATCGAATTGTCATTACCAATCCTTCTTTACTATTTTCTATTATTCTTCGATCTCCGCCATTTCTAAGGATTGAATCCCAGCTTTCTTTCCATAATGCTTTGCCATTCTCATATTCTGTTAATTCACCTTCTCGTTTCCCATTTTTCATCACCCATGCAAGACTTAAGATTCCACGATTGAATAATTGACATCGACCTTCAACTTTCCCATTTTTCATTTCACTCAGCAAATACTCATTGGAATGATTTCCTTGATATATAGTCACTTCATGTTCCACTCCATTAATGGAAATCTTTTGCTTTTCCCTGGTAATGTAGTCGTTAAGTAAATATCTTAATTTCCTGGATTTTTCTGACGAATCTATATTCTAAATGTAATAATATACATGTACAATCGGTAGTCGTCACCATTTTAAGTAATAATACTGGTGTACCTTGTTATAATAACAAAAAGGTAACATTATCCTGTATTCTTCGTTCAATACCTATTTATGACCTTATATTAAAACGGACTTTGGGATTGTTTCTAGATGCATCTGTTGTCTTGAAGATGGAAGGTTATTTCTGCTCTTTTTATATACTATAAAGTGATTTAGTATGTTTCTAAAAAGATAAAACACATATTCATTTGATCTATTAGTGGGACTTGTTGATTCTCTCTTTTGCATTCAAAAATGCAACTCACTGTTTGACTATCTACGAATAGTATGCCACCATCATTACCTAATCACCTCTTTTATCCTCATCAAGTCCCTCTCTTCTATTATACACCTCAATTAAGCACTACTTCGCCATTCCCTACACGCACACAGCGCATTTCTACAAAAAAAACATTCACCTGTACATCCATCCTCCCATCCCTCTCCTTTCATCCAACAAACACTCCAAAACAATATCTCACTCAACGTAGCATTCACTCCCTGAATCAGATTCCCCGTCAACAATTCTTCCGCATCGGCCTTTAATTGTCGGTTCGGGTCCACTTCTCCCACAAATCCTTCTTCCGATCGCTTGCTCTCCTCCTCCACGCGATTCTTCAGCTCTCGCACCAGCGACTTCACCTCGCTCACCAATCGTCCATTCCGCTCCTCATTCCGCTCAAATGATTGGCAGAGCATTCCCTCCTACTCCTCACCGCGGTTATCCCGCACCTACATGCCACTGCGGCCGCGACAGACGCGTCAGAAGCTCCTCCTCGGACTACATGTCAGGCATCGCTGCGCGGAGTACCGGATCGATGTCCCAGCGCACGGGGAGACGGTAAAACTCGCGGCCGCAGCCTCGCTGACGCTGCTGCGTGGTGGCTTTGACGATGTGTCCGCGATTGCTCGTGCTTTGGAGCGGAGATGAGGGAAGCATGCTAGCAGAGTTGGGGAATAAGCGGAACGCGTCGATTACGATGTTGCCCTTCACGGATTGGATGGGATCGACCACGACTGCGACGCAGCGCTGGTCGGTTTTTTCGAACATCTGGAGGTGAGATTGAATGGAAATGAGCACCGTTTGTGTGTTGACATCGACGGAAGAGAGCCAGCATCCAAAACCGGGATGCGAGTGGTACCAACCGACGACATTTTCCATTCTGATGAAGTAAATTCGAAAAAATCGAAAGAAGCTACCTGCCAGTTTGGCGCATCAATTCAATATAATCGCTTTGATATTGCTCATCGATCGTTTCAACGCTTGCCTCTGTTCCTCGCTGCGGCATAGGGAACACGTCCTTCACATAGACAGTGAGATCGTCCGTGAACTCGCCTAACATCATACCCATAACTTCAATCGGAACTCCGGCTCTTCCTACAAAATGAAACAAACTCCACAGAGACAAACCGTGCTTTATCATCTTTATGAGTGCCAAAGGCGATATATATACAGTTTCGGAAGAGTTGATAATTCTCTTAGGCCCCGGGGACCTTAACTGCATAAAATTCATCGTATCTATCGAAAAAATGGCATCGAAAAGGAATTCTTTTGCGTACAAACGAACTTTCCAAACAAACAAACAAACAAACAACGTACTAAACCAATTCGTGTTACTTCGCTTCGGGTGTCTTTGCCTGCTTGGCCTGCTTAGCCTGCTTAGCCTTTCGCGTTTTCTTCGCTTTCATCGCCGTTTTTTCTTTCTTCTCCTTCCCTCCGACTCGCTTCACGACTTCTTTTCGTACCGGTTCCTTTAATTCGGGAGCTTCCAAGTCGTCGAATCGCTCTCTCAACGCTTTCTCGTAAGTGAACTCTAATTCATTGAAAGACTTTCGGAACGCGGCAACGAGGTCTTTTTTATTGTAGCACGTCTTAAAGATCACGTCGCTGCACGTTAAGTCACTTCTGCAGAGTTTCAAAGGATATTAAACATGACGAAGATCAATGTTCTCGAAAGCGGGTTTTTCTTCGCTTTCTCCCTCTAGTTGTGAGGATAGAAGCGAAATACAAACTTTCACGGTAGGTTTCGTAGGAGTCAAGAATGCACAAAAAGACGCGCTCCTTGATACCATAAACGACAAGGCGAGAGGCATCGATCTCTAAAATGTGGAAGAAGGGGCGAATCAAATTCTGAATAACAAAGAAAAAAGCAAAGCAACCATAAAGTCGTAACTGGAGATGTGTGGATTCTGTTTGTGCAACTCATCCAAGAAACACTCGCAATACTGAGAAAACAGTCCAATGGACTTCTCATTGTACACTGTCGTGTTCACCAACGACTGGTACTGCTCAACGAGTGATTGTTTCCATTGCTTCTAAAATTATAAACAAAACGATTGAAAATTCGCACTTGCTCTAAGAAGCTGAACGTTTGATTTGTGAATTTGCGAATTAAAAGAAGGAACTTATCCATACGCAGCATGTCGATGCCACCCCATTCACGGATCATTGTCTTCCAGAAGCAAACGATGTACATCCAAGAAAGCTCTTCTGAGCGGAATTCAAACAACTACGATCAAATCGACAATTTGTGTGTACCATTTCGCTTAGCACGATTGCTAATTCTTCCTGCACCAACGGTTTGTCAGACATCCAGAAGGTGTAAAACAAACCCTTCCATAACTTCATCATTTCAAGCTCCGTGCATTGTTGGATTCTGATAATGTCTCTAATATGTGAGAATACAAAATAGGAGCTCCTCTTACCTTCGAATCGTTTCTACCGCTTTGTCTCGCACTCTCTTCTCCGTATTAGCGAGATCTCTTCCCAGCGTGTAGAATTTAGGGTCTTCAACAAGGGTATCGTCAGCCATTAATGCTTAGTATGCTCGATTCGATTTTTAATCAAATTCCCGCGGGTTTTGTTTTTCGGTGTTTTCAGGATAGTGAAGACCTGGCAAGGTTTTTTGTAGTGTTTGATGAAGAAAAGGTAAATTGATCTACGAGACACTAACGAAATAGCCTAATCCTTGCTGCCTTTATAGCCACGTTAATTCTGGACATGGGCGCTGGTCCCGTTTTCATTGTATATGCTTCATTAAATCTCAATAAAAATGCTGCGTTTCCAGCGGCAACTTGGCTCTTAGTTTTGTTATATTTTTGGAATTAGGACTAGTTTCGAGGAATTTACAATGTGCTTCAATTTATTACGGTGATGTCATTGTGTGTAGCGGTCAATCGCATTAAGCGGTTGTATTCTCGTAAGGAGGAGTATCAGTAAGTGTTCGAAATGTGTTTTTTTACGAGTAGAGTGGTTGCGAATCTCCTTGCAACGCATCCTCTTGCGTTTTTTTATTACACGCTGCTTTTAGGTGGAATTGTTTGGAATACGTTGGGAAGCGGATGGATCGGAACTGCCTTCTCCGATTATTCCCATTCGTTCGGCGTTTGTTATTTAGTTTGCATCATTCTATCGTGGGTGAGCACCGTTCTCTCCCCAATCTTTGTGTTTTGTGGTAGTTCCACATCCCTCCATCCTCATCTCCAGGTGGGCTCGTTTACAGCTCAAAAAAGAGCTACACGTCTTCTGCCATCGAGGGAGACGCTCTCAGCGATCTTCTGGAAGATCGCTCAATGCTCGTGGACATCAAGCAAATCATCGACTCTCTCAACGGAATCGGCCTCTCCGTCGACGAAATCCTCTGGAGAGAGCAATATTTGGCTTCTCTCCCCTCTGGCGGACCACGTCTCTCCATCAGCGAAGATGCTGCGATTCCCGTGGAAATCGCCAGCGTTGAAACGGACGCGAAACTCACCGATGAAACGCCCAATCCGATTCTCGCGGAACTGACGCGGAAATTGAGCCAAACGGAGCCATCCGCCTCCCCCGTTTTGCTTTTTCACCGCGATTCTCTCGATCCCGGCGATGAAACGCCCGAGACATTCCCGCGGAAATCCGAGGAGGCGGCGATGGACGCCTTGGAAGTCGCGATCCCCGCGGGGAATTCGTTTTTCTGTCGAGAGGACCCATCGATTGGGATAACCGCGGTGAATCCGTTGAGCCAATCAAATCGCAATGGAACATCAATGAACAATATTAATAACAATAACAATAACAATAACAATAACAATAATAATAATAATCTAAATGGGTCCCTACTGAATAATGGGACATTTGTGAATCATGGTCCCAATAGTAATCAAAATGGGTCCCTATTGAATCATGGCGGGTGGATCGTGACTCGGAGTTCGGAAGGGTCGCAGAGCGCATCGAGCTATTCCTCCACCGCGCCCATCCCGCTCAATCCGACCACCCCCACCAACGTGACCACGAATCAATCATCCACTTCCACTCAACCATCCAATCAACCATCCAATCAACCATCCAATCAACCATCCACCGGCTCTTCCACCGGCTCTTCCACCGGTTCCTCCAAGGAAGCCTCGAAGAAGTCGCAGAAGGCGGGTCGGTTGGGTCGCAGCGCGAGGGATCGCCGCGCCGCGCACGCCGAGCACGCCTCGCGCACGCCGAGCAGCGCCAAGCAGGCCATTATGAGCGTGGACCAGCCCATCGCCCCGCTCCGCCTCCAGACCTTCCGCAGCCTCCAGCAGTCCCAGCAGAGCCTCCAGAGCCCGTGGGCCCCTCGCCAAAGCGCAGCCAGCCAGCCCAGCCAGCCTGGCCAGCCTGGGCAGGGATCCACGGAGGACGCAAGGCGAGCTCCCTCTGCGAGCGAGGCGGAGGGCTCTGCGTCTGAAGGGCGAGCGAATCCTGTTTTCGCTAGCGAATCAGACGAATTCATCGACCTCTCGCAGGAAATGATCCACCAAACGCTCCGCGCGCCGCAGAACGCGGAGCTGCCCGACCAGCACGTCTTTGTAACCTATCTGCACTGCTTTGTTTGATGCAACAAACACTCGCCTTTCCCCTCCTGTCGCTTATTCCTCATCCTCCTGCTCCTCGGCGACGCACAGCTCCTTCTCGGACACGTAGATACCGTCCAGGAACTTACGGATATCCTTGTTGCGCACCAGCACGCACAGGTGGATCTGAGAGGCTATTCGTTACTCCCTTCTGCCCAAAAAACACATACCAGAAATAGACACGGCCTCGATGTCGTTTCCCTCAAGGATGATCTCATCCTTCTGGGCCTCGGACTTGGTCACGGTCACGCCCTCCTGCATATGGATGTGGCGCACACGCTTCTCACCGAGGAAGTTACGGATCTCCACCTTGGTACCGTCCTTGTTGATGGCCACATTGATGGGGAAGTGAGCGTACACGAAACGCATCTTGTAGCGGTATCCGTGAGTCACACCGGTGAACATGTTGCGGATGTGCGAGCAAATCGTTCTGACCACAGAAATGTTCTTGTGCAGTCCGAACCAGAGATCCACGTACACCCTGTTTCCTTCCTTGCGGATGTCCACAAACTGGTGGGAGAAATCGCGGTGCAGAGTACCACGAGGTCCCTTCACGGTCACTCGTCGGTTCTTGACGATCACGCTTACTAGAACACTTAATCATGCGAAACAAAACCAAACCTCCTTCAGGAATTTCCACATGGTTAGTCGACAGTGTTATCTTCATTCTTTACGGTAATGCGGGGAAGTAGGAATACACTTTGCTTTAAACCACCCACTTCCCACAGATGTTCAGTGGTCAGGCGTCTTGATAATCAACACGTTTTCTTTCTCACTCGTTTTAAAGAAATTTACGATGTCTGTTTTAGATTTGTGTGGTCTTGATGAGGGAGCACTCGATGCAAGAGAGTAGCTGCTTCTTCTTTTGGGAGTGTTTGAATAGGGTTGAAACCAATTTCTCAATCACCGAACTGAACAAGTTTATCGTGCTCTATCGAAGGAAGGACATAAACGACATGTTGAGTTCCATTGAGGTTGTTTGCCGCTAGATTTGTTTTAGTTGTAGTGTGAAGACAAAGAATGGAAGGAAGAGCAAGTGGGAGTAATTTTGGTTTCGACCTCGTGAAACCTAGGTGATTCAGCAAGCGATTGACGTTTTGATGGGTGACTACGCCAAGCTCTTTGCGAAGGAGTCATTTAAATCTATCATCTTGGATGAGCGTCAACCCAATGAAAGCATCTGTCGAGATTTGCTCGGTTTGTTACGTCTAGTCCAGCCGTCCGTCGGCCTCGATAACATATCTGCTTTTCTTAAAACGCGTGTGAATGCCTATATTCATTTCGCCGACACCGAAGCGGAAGAGCAACTGCGGTACTTCCGCTCTATTCTTCTCGAGATTCATCGATAGAACGCAGGAAGTCCTTCATATCGCCATCACCCTTCTCAACATGTACATCCAAGCCAACTACACGGGTCCCGGCTTAGAAGAAACCTTCCCTGCCATCTCCACGATTTCTCCCTTCCCCTGGTTCACTTCGGTACCCTTCTCCCTCATCATGCATCCCAGTCCTCATCGACCTCCGACTCTTCGTCCGCCTCTTCTTCTCCGGCTCTCCACGCTCTCCACGCTCTCGACATCGACGGCGAAGAGCCCTACGAGCTCATGAAGCACCCTCTCCTGCTCGCCTGCGCGGAGTCGCTTCTGCTTCTGCTCCATTCCATGCTTCTCCCCGCGGATCTCCGCTTCTGGGTGGCGCTGTGGCTGGCGCGCTGCAGCGTGGTGCACTACCGCTGCCTGCTGGGGAATCCGTCGGCGTCGCTGCACAAACGGATCCGTTCTCTGCAGGAAAAAACCGAATCGGCGTAGAATCGAAGCGCAGATTTGACAAGCAGAGCGACGGAAAGCTTCCAAACCGGCGAAGAAAATTGGCGGTGGATTCTGATCCGCGTGCTCATCGAAGAGGGCTTGTTCTACCTGTACTCCTTCGAAACGGAGAAGGCCAATCCGTTCTTCCTCCGCGCGATGGACTGTCTTCTCGCGTTCGCTGCGTTGATTTCGTAGATTCCGGACTGGAATGCGAACTGACCGGCGCCAAGGGCCGACGCACCAAGTTCCAGACCTTCGACACCGCGCAGCTGATCGTGTTCGCGAAGAGCCACCGCGATGAGGGCGCGGAGAGCACCGCTTCGGATGTGGTGGAGGCGTGGAAAGGGAGTGACGCGTAGTCGGGCACGCCGGAATTGGTGAAGCTGGACGAAGTGGACGAGGATAATATTCTGTTAGAAGCGACGTTGCTGAACGCGGAGACGCCGGAGCATCTGAAAACGCACAGCAAATTAACGGTGATCGACCAGGTAGGAAGAACTAAAAACAAAAAAGAATAAAAATAACGCCAAGATTCTGATTCAATGCTTGTGCATCGATATCAAGAACAACAATCCGCAGTACGGTCTCATCACCGAGCAGATGGCCTCCTACATCACTCGCATCCTCGTCTTTTTTTTCTCTTCTCTCTCACTCCCAGTCCCATCCGCTCAACTGGACCGTCTACTCCTACTCTCTTCTCCTCAAAACCTTCGTCGAGTACGAAAACAGCCGCACCAAAGAGCGCGCCGTCCTCCAGCTCCAAGTCCTCGTCGACCAGCTCAGCAACGAGACCACGCCGCTCCTTTCTCACAAAGAAGAGAACAAAAAAAGCGCCCCCGTGTGGGAGCGAATGATGGTTCCGCGGTTCTCCTCCTCTTCCATCGTAGTACATCTACTCCACCGGATTCCCTCCCTTCTGGGAGATGAAGAAACGCCTCGCGGAACACTATTTCGAGTGTGGCGTGGTGAAGACGGCGCTGAATATCTTCCAGGAGCTCCAATTGTTCGACAACGTCGTGAACTGCCTCGAAATCATCGGCCGCAAGGACGAAGCCCTGCAGCTCGTTGTTTCCACGTTTCCACTTCATCGATAGCTCGAGAACCGCGTGCGAGAGAAGGGCGAAACGCCCTACCTGCTGTGTCGAATCGGAGAACTGGAGAAAAACCCGCGGTTATTGGAGCGCGCGTGGGAACTGTCCAATCATCGCTTTGGGCGTGCGAAGCGCATGCTGGGGAACTTCTACTACGACCAGAACGATTTTTCTGCGTGCATTCCGCACTATAAGGAGGCTGTGAGGAGTTGGAGAGAGGCTCGGTAATGATCAGCTGGCGATGAACATGATGTACCCGACCATCTGGTTCAAGTGTGGCGTGGCGACCATGCGCACGGGCGACTTCGCCTCGGCGATCACGTGCTTCTCCACGCTGCTACGGCTCAACCCCGAGTTCGGAGAAGGCTGGTCGAATCTTGCGGGAATCCTCATGAAAGTCGGCAAAATGCGCGAAGCCTACGAGGCCGCGCGGCAGAGCATCCGCTTCCTCCGCGAGAACTGGCGCGTCTGGGACAACTACGTCACGATTAGCGTGCGATCGGACCGCGTCTTTCATGTAGATGGCCATGGGCGAATTCGCCTCCGTCATCGAAGGTCTCTCCACCATGCTCGCCATCACACACAAGAGCGAAATGCCGCTCGACTACGCGCTCCTCGCACGCCTCACGCGCGGCGTTCTCCACTGGACCGAACCGGCAACCGCGGGAATCGAGACCGTCTCCCCGGAGACCGGCGAGGAGGAGGCCGTCGAGCTTTCCCCCGTGGTTCTCGGCGAGTTGGAGGAGCTCGAGCAGCTCGAGCAGCTCGAGGCTCCCGAGACTGGAGAAACTGGAGAAACTGGAGAAACGGAGAAGGATCGCGGGACACGGGAGTTTTTGGTGAAGAAACTGTCGGGATTGTTCGATGAGCTGCAGAAGCGAGTAGGAAAAGGAGAAACGGTGGTAACGGGTAGTACCCGCGGGACGTGCAGCTGTACGACATTCTGTATCTGTTCTATGAGGGAACGGAGCAGAGGGAGGCGGCGTTGGACGCGCTGATGAAGAAGATGCGGTCGAGCATGACGGGGAATTATCTGGCGAGCGAGGAGTCGGTGAAGCGCGTGCTGGGCAGCTGTACGCAGCTGATGGAGTTCGTGACCGCGCACAGCATGGAGAAGAAGACGCAGGAGGTCCGGATGGTCTGTCGCAGTGTGCTGTCGCGCTGCCAGCGCAACTTCAGCGCGCTGCCCGAGTTCCAGCGCCTACAAGCCCTGGTCCAAAACACGCCTACAGCCACAGCCAAAGCCACAGCCAGGGATGCAAGTGCAGGCAAGGCCTAGAGAGAACATTTCTTGTTTGAGCCAAACACACAACCCACAATCCACTTTACTACGACTATTGCTGCTACTTCTACTTCTACTACTGCTTCCTCGTCTATTGCTTCTTCTTCTCTTCGGCCGCGGCGTCCACGTTGGTCACCACTTCCTCCTTCTTCTCCTCGTTCGCAGACAGACTCACCACCTCCGCCGGGAGCTTGAAGTCGCCGCCCAGCGCCGCCAGCAGCAGCGAGTTCAGACGCGGGATCATCGTACGGGAGTCGTCCATCAATCCGGCGGACACCAAGCAGTCGTCGAAGAGCTGCTCCGTCACGCACTGCGCCAGCAGCGGCTTGCTCATGCGCACCTCGTTCAGCTTCAGCATCAGGTCGTGGCGCGGATTCACCTCCAGCACCATGGGCTCCAGCGGCATGATGCCCTTCAGATCGCCGCGCGCCGCCTGCATCAGCTTCACCATGCGGCGATAGCCCGCGTTGTTGCTGTCCGTCACGATCGCCGGCGAGCTCACCAGGCGGTGCGTCACCTTCACGTCCTTCACCTTCTCGCCCAGCGAGGTCTTCATCCACGCCGCCAGCTCCGCGGCCGCCTGCTCGCTCAGGCCCTCCGGCAGCGCGGACTTCGCGCCGTCCTCCTTCTTCGGCTCGTCCGCGGAGAGGTCGATCTCCGCGTTCTCCACCGACACGAAGCGCTTTCCCTTGAACTCGCGGACGTTCGTCATCACGAAGTCGTCCACCGGGCTGTACAGGAACAGCACCTCCAGTCCCTTCCGCTTGAACACCTCGTAGTACGGCGAGGCCTGCGCCAGCGAGCGGCTCGTGCTGTTCAGGTAGTAGATCTCCTTCTGGCTCTCCGGCATGCGCTTGATGTACTCGTCGAGCGTGGTGAGCTTGGACGCGTCGCACGCGGAGGACTCGAACATGAGGATGCTGGCGAGGTCCTGGCGATTGTCGTAGTCCTGGATCACTCCCTCCTTCAAGAAGGGATGGAACTCGTTGAAGAACACGAGGTACTGGTCGCGCTCCTTCGTCGACTTGTCGTGCAGGAAGCGCAGGAACTTCTTCGTCAAGATCTTGCGGATCCGCTTCACCAGCAGCGAGTCCTGCATGTTCTCACGCGACAGCGAGAGCGGAATGTCCTCGCTGTCCACCACTCCGTACACAAACCGCATCCAATCTGGCAGCAGCGTCTTGCTGTGCGACTCAATCAGCACTTTGCGGCTGTACAGCGACACGCCCGGCTCCATTCGGCCCAATCCCATCTTCTCCGTCTGCATCGAGCCCACGTAGAACAGCGCCTTCAGCGCGATCGGCGCGTCCGCAGAGAAGTGCAGGCGGAACAGCGGCGTGTCCCAACCCTGTCCCACGAAGTGGTAGAAGTCGAGATACTGCTGCTCGGTGATGCTGTTCTTGTCCATCGCCCAGATAGCGCGCACCGTGTTCACTTCCTGTCCGTTCAGACGGATCGGGTGGTTCACGAAGTTCGAGTACTTCTTGATGATGCGGTTCACCGTCTGCTCGATCGCGAATTTCTTCTGGTCCTCCTTCAGGTGCAGCACGATCGTCGTTCCGCGAGGAGCCGACGACGCCTTCGTGATTTGATAGGCGCCCGTGCCGTCCGAAGACCAGCAGTACGTTTCATTGTCCGTTGCGGAGTGGGAGAACACGTCCACGTGGTCCGCCACCATGAAAGCCGCGTAGAAACCGACACCGAAGTGGCCGATCAGAGAAGTTCCCAGATCTCCGGCCTTGCCTTCCGCTGTCGCCTTCTTCAAAAACGCCTTCGAGCCAGAGCGAGCGATCACACCCAGGTTCTCTTCCATCTCCTTCTTTGTCATACCAATACCCGTATCCTGGATCGTAATCGTTCCGTTCTTCTCATCTGTGTAAATGTGGATCTCCAGAGGGAGGTCCTTGTCATTCACAGCCACTCCGGAGACCTGCTCGTGGCGCAGCTTCTCCAGAGCATCCGAAGCATTGGAAATAAGCTCTCTCAGGAAAACCTCCTTGTCCGTGTAAATGGAGTTGGTCACAATATCGAGCAGCTGCTTCGTCTCAGCCTGGAACTCATGCTGCTCCTCGGGAGCTCCTTCCTCCTTCTTAGGAGGAACAAACTCTTCCTTCACCTTCTCCGAATCCTTCTTGTTGTCGCCCAAGTCCTTCTCGTTAAACAACATCTCAGCGGCCATTTTCTTGGCTTCTTCGGGAGATAACTCCTTCTTTGCGTTCTGGTCCGTGGTCGTTGACATAAACATGACGGGGACTCCTCTCATAGGGACGAGAAGCGATCGACCGTAGGTGGTGACCACTCGGCGTCCCAGAGCTCTTGAACTGGAACGGACACCATTTATAACAGCAGAAAATGCACGAGTGCGAAAAGCCATAGTAAATAGAGAAAAGCGTACAACCAATTCGATTATGAAAAACAAACGTAGAAACGGGGAAGCGACCCTTTGGAAAAACATCAAACATTCCGAGTTCCACAGAGAGGAATCGGACGCATTGAGAACTTTGCAGCACGATACGAGATATTCGTTCAAACGATTTTGGATCTTCGAAAGGAAGGTCGATGTGACAGTCATTCCACCAAACAATAGAACTCGGCTTTTGTAATAGGTTGCACCTGGTACCACATAAGCTATGCTGTCCTGTACGGATTTGACACAACTTGTAACTTCTCATAAAAACTCTTTTATTGTAAGTCTTCCCATTCCATGAGAATTGTAGTTACAAATCCTAGCTATGCTAACTCATAGGGTGTGTTGATCCGTTTTCTGATTGTTGGTATTGTTGCACTGGTGACTGTTATCATTCAATACAGTCTCTTCATTCTGTGCCATCTCCTACGCCCGATTATTGGAAAGAGAGGAGTTCAATATGGGTTGTCATTCCTCATGGTATCTTGTATGTACGATGAGATATCGTCTAGGGAACCTACCTCCGCTTTGTCCGTTTCTTTATTTCGGATTTTAAAGTGATTCTTACAGGAGATGTGGATATGATTGAGAAGACAACGTTCAACCGATGTGTCTACATTCAAAACCACCAAACGGAGTTGGATTGGCTGTTTATGTGCTACTTTCTTCAAATGTTCGATCGAGAGAACGACTTCTCTGCCATCATGAAGAGCAGCATTTCGTAAGTTTATTTTTTAACCAATACCCCTCATGTTCTAGCAAAGTTCCTGCGTTTGGCCCCATCGTCCAGGAGCTCAATATGTGTCTCTTGGACCGCGATTGGAAGCGGGACCAGAAGAACTTCGCCCAGTTCCTCGAGCAATTCGAGCACCACCCTCGTCCGGTGTGCGTTTTCCTCTGTCCTGAAGGCACCACAATCACGCAAGGTTAGGTTTTCTTAATTTGTTTCGAACGCATAGCATCGCTCGACCGCTCGCAGCAATTCGCAAGACGCGCCGGCCGTCCGGTCTTCGACGTTTTCTCTTCTCGATTGCATGCATGCCTAGCACGTCCTGCTGCCTCGCTCGACCGGGCTCGCGTTCATCATCCAGCAAATCCGCGAGTGGGAGAAGGAAAGCGGAGAGACGGTCTACCTGTACGACACGACGATGCAGTTCGAAGGCTTCACCGGCGAAGTGAGCGGCGATCACTACGAGCGCGTGGTGGATGTGAACTTTCCCGACTTGGATAACTGCTTTTTCTGGGTAGGGGAGGAGCGAGGAGGTGAGAGATAGCGAGTGCCGGTGCAGTGCCACATGCATGTGAAGGTGGTTCCGCTTACGAAGATCGTGAGCGAGGAGGCGACGAGTTTGGAGGCGATCTCGAAGGAGGTGCAGGACTGGCTGGACGCGTCGTGGACGGAGAAGGAGAAGCAGATGAAGTACTTCGCGAAGCATCAGACGTTCGATGAATCGTGGAATGCGAATCGAGTGAGCGATGGAGAGAGAAATGAGGGATAGAAAGTGGAGCTGTTCGATTGGACGCATCGACTCAAAGACTCGATTCGATGGGTTGCTGTAGGTGTTGTGTCCCTCGCCATCGATACTGCCGTTGTTTCGCTCATCATCAAGGCGATTCGGTTCCTTCGAACCGGTCTTTCTCTTGTTTCTTGCATCAAACACATCACTTTCTCTCAGTACCCTCACACAGCTTCTCCATCCTTCACACATTGCACCACTTCTGCAGAGCCTCCATCGCGCTCGCAGGGATCGCGCTGAACTCCATCTTCGACTTTGGCTTATTGCGCAGAGGGCAGCGATAAAGCACAGTCTGCAGATTGGGACATCGGGACACCTCGATCTCCTGGAGCGTCATGAAGTTTCCATTTTCCAGCTTCAGGGACCGCAGCGACGCGTTGTCCCGAAGCAAAAGACACTGCGACTTCTCAAACGACCCCATGCCCAGCTCGATATCCTCCAGATTCGGACAGTCTAGAGAGTGAATGACAGCGTCGATTCGTACTGAGAATGATGAATCCGCGCGTGGATTGGAAGCACATCCTCGCAATGCGGATATGCTTCAAACTCGGCAAATCTGAGTCTCGTAAGAGTTGACCAATCCCTACTGTAGAACTCGCAGTTCTGCACCATCTTCATGCACCTCTCGCTGATGATGATCTCCTCCAGACTGCCAAGATCTACCGATGAGAGCGAAAAAGCAAAAAAAAAACTCGCCAGCTTGAACGAATTCGACATTTGTGGGAAACTATTCGGCTCCAGAACCAGCTTTGAGAAATCGAAGCAGTCTATCGCTCAATCCCTTCCAGCTCTCCAAACCCTTCAACGTAAAATCCCTGATCATCTTGGTGAAGTACTTGGAGAAGCGAAGCACTTCGAAGCCCGTGCAATCTACACTCAAATTTCCTAACCACACGAACGATCCAGTACGACTTCGTTCAGCGATCCAGAGGCCGTCACGCTCTCGATAAAGTTCGCGTTTTCAAAATAGCAGTCTGCTCGTTAGGGTCTTTCGCTTCCTCTTCTTCCTACTGTGCAAAATGAGCGCCGACACCGCAGCGATCTTCAAATCCGTTCTAAACAGATTGTTGATGCGCAGATCCGACAGATACAGCTTGTTCAGCATGTTCAGTCGCTGGCACAGCCACGACACCGACTCGAAATCGATCGGTCCCACTCCCAGCCCGTTTCCATTCCCATACAGACAAAGAACCTGAATGCTTTCCACCGAGGACAGCAAGAAATAGCCCCGACGCGCTTCGAATCTCTGCATGGCTTGGAAGACTTCCTGATCCACGTCTACGCCTCATTCTCTCGCTCCATCCCGACAGATCCGCACAGTCTGATGCGGGTTATCCGCCTTCATGAAGATCTGGTCGCACGCGGATCGGATCGACACCACGTTCTGCAGGTCGTAATATTTCTTGTCGTACTTCGGGTGTAGCGGGGAGTCCTCGTAGTCCAGCGCCACATACACGAGATCCTTCTCCTCTCTGTTCCCCATGTTGTATTGGCACAGCCTGGCCACGTTCGGGCCCAAAAACTCGTACGCCGTGCCCGTCTTCATGTTGTTAACGTACGATCCCTTGAAGATCAGACCGCCCATCCCGTTCCGGATCTCCGCCGGACCCTGCTTCTTCCCGGCTATATACTCGGATTTGCTCCGAATCTTGCCGTCATTGAAGAACTCCGTGCTCCGCCCGTTCAGCTTGTCGTCCACGAAGTGGTCCTCGCGCAGCCGCAGCCGCTCGTTGTACAGAAAGAACGTGCCCTCCTTCTTCCCCTGCTCGAACATGCCCTCATAGCAGTCCTGATTCTCCGAGTACAGACGACCCCTCCCGTGGTACTGTCGCTTGTAGTAGCAGCCATCGTACAGCAGGTGCCCCGACCGCAGGTACGCCTTGCCTCGCACGCACGTGACCTTGTCGCCCGACCGGATCACTTCCAGCATGCACTCGTCCGGCTTCCGCTCGTGGTCCAGCCACTGGTTGTTGTAATAGTGCTCGAAGAACAGATAGATGTTGTCCGGGTTGTTGTGGTCCTTCTCCAGCTGCTCCAAGTGGTACTTCAGCAGCGCCAGCGTCTCATGGAAGCCGTTCCGCGGCAGATTGTAGAGGTAGTTCACGATACGCGCGCTCACCTAGGCTCACAAGAGGGCGGCGAGGGTACTTCGCTGGGGAAGAGGCAGAGCAGATCGAGGATCTCGCTGATTCCCCGGTAGTTGTCCGTTCCCGCGAGAATCTTCAGCAGGCGCTACGCTGGAGTGGAAAGGAGGGGCCTACGCCGATGTCGATTTCGCGCGATCGGCGCTCCAGGTTGTGAATGAGCTCGACGTTCTCGTCGTCCATGTAGGTCACGAAGGTGATCGTGCGATGCATGTCCTACCGCTCAGACCTCTCTCTGCTTGCAGTACCTTGACCGAAATCGTGCCGGGAATCTTATCCACCAGAACTTGCTGCCCCTCGGTCAGCTGGAAATAAGAAAAAAGGCGACTGATATAAATACCTTGTGATCCAGGTTAGTGAGCACGACGGTGTTCTTGACAATGCTACGGAAACTTTCAGCATCGAAGAAGTCGGTACGAAGAATCTTATCAAACACTTCCTAAAGCTAAAAGGAAAGAGATGGACTCGACATAGGATTCATCACAGATCGAATTTAGCACATCTAGCATATCACGAATAATCTACAACTATTAGCATAGAAAGGAAAAAAGAAACAGGATGAATGTATTTAAGCTCTTTTTTTGTAATTTCATAAACCTATATATATAAAACACGATGATTATAACAACCTCATGACTTCGAGTGGCATAATCAACAATAATACTGCAAATTTTCTAGATGTGACAAAAAATGAATGAAAGTACGTCACAATTAACTACATTACTAAATTGGACTCCACAAACTGGGCAAAGTCTACAATAATACTTTAAAACAAAACAAACTTATTTGGACACTCCTCTATGCATGGCCGGCAAAAGGAGTGGCAACAATTATTTAAAAAGACCCGATCATCGGGTTTATCATAACAAATCTCTGCAACATTACATCCAACTAACACATATAAATACGGCAGTCCTCTAAGCAGCCGATAATCCTTCTTGCAAGTTCTTCAATATAAACTTTCTTAATCGCAGCCATTTTATAGTATAAATTTTACTGAGAAGAATCTGAAGGAATTTGGGTATTGCGGTAATCGGGCATTATATTGGCTGTTCTTCAATTGTTGTTAAGTTATTTATCTTGATAATAGATTATCGCAAATATTCATGAAACAAAGATCGGATACTAGTGACACCAGTATTACCTGTGCTACTAGTGAAGATCTTGATGACGAATTGTTTCTATCGATTATGAAAGAAGTGACATCAATTACACTTTGTTATTGGTAGGAAAACCATAGTATCCACGATAAAAGGGAAAATGATGTCAAAGTTTCCTATCCGGAGGATGACATTGACTTTGAAAACGAAAAGACATGTAAGCAAAGGAAGAAAAAACAAAAGTCTTCAGATCTTTCTCAAGAAGTTCACCGTGGAACGATTGTTTATCAGCCTGACAAATACGCAGAAGAAATTGAAGAAAGAGTAGTAGTAGAGAGTAATATGCCATGTAGAGATTAATGGAGATAATAAGAGAGGGAAATGATCTAATTTGGGCGGATGTTCGGAATGTATTTCTTATTCAGTCGAGAATTCGTTTGTGGTGGCCAGGACGTGTATCTTCTCTATTATCCGGTATTTCTCTAGGTGCTGAGCGATTACGAAGTAAATCTATTAGATCCGCAGGATCGAGAGCATCCAATCCAGTTTGAGAAAGACTATTCTTATGTAGAGCTATTTGGATATCGAAGAAATTTCCGTTACTATCCGTATCTACCTATTACATTTTATTTTATCTAGTGTTCAAATCCAGAAAAACTTCATTGTGTCCTACTGTGGCAATTATATGGAGGATGAAAGTGGAAAATCGGCCAAAGCACTGGAAACGAGCTCACAATCATTAGGACAGTTGTCTCAGTACTGGAAGGAGGGAATGCGACTGTTGAAGAAAGTGACGAAATGAAGGATTTGAGAGATAGATCGAAAAGGAAAAGGGTATTGATCCCTTTCAGCAAAGCGCGTTGGCCAAGTTTGAGAAGCCGATCTGCATGACAGAACGAAAGAAGCAAACAAAAAAGAACACAAAGAAAGGGAAAAGGGAGCATGAAGACGAACCCAAAATAGACGGTAGAAATGTAGCAAGCAGCATTTCGAATATGAATAATGAGCACACAGAGACGGATACACAAATAGAAACAAACACGCAGGAAGATCGAAAGACGGACGGAGGGTTTGAGAGAAATATACAAGCAGATGGGGAGTTGCGAACAGGCACACAAGCAGATGAGGAGTTGCGAACAGGCACACAAGCAGATGGGGAATTACGAGCCGACACACAAACAAACATGGAGATCCAAATGGTGGACCCACAGGCTCTGAAGCAAAAACGGTCCGACTATCGACAGATCCTCCATCAAGTGAACCGAACATGATTAAATCGATTGTAGAACACGATCACAGCATATGCAGGAGATGTCAAGGAAGAAATCCATGCCGGAGATCTGATTTGCTATTACTACAAACCAGTTTGTTCGTCCCTACGAGCTGATGAATAGTTCGGAGCAGCAGGCAATCCCAAAGCGCTTGTGACGACATATGTGCTCTCTGTGTACCAGGAGTACGGCCAGTCCAAACTACGACTTGAAAATGGTCATGTTCTGCTCGGCGATACACAAGTACGACGGGTAAGGAATGAGGCGCAGGAAGAAATCGAGAATCGTGGTAAGGATTGGTGGCTCTGCTGAGAGCGCAGGGACCTTTGGGACCTTTAAGAGTTTGAGTGAATATGTACTCATTCCAGGAGAAATGAAGAAGGAGAATGCAGAAGCGATGTGTCTGTATACACTTGATCATTTAAGAAAGGATTTGATGAAGGTTGGGGATGAGGTTGCGTTTGTGTTATTCTAGATTAAAGAAGTGTACGATGATGGAGTTGATGGGTTAAATGGGATGAACAGCACTTCAAAGAAAACAACGGATTTCATCAAATCACAAAAAAAGATTAAACATTTGTGTAACAAAAAAGAAAAGACGACAAAGAAATGGTATGTTTGATTAGTACACATGTTCATTTCCTCGTGATATTGCGTTCGCTAGTACATCCGCATTCAATTGCATAATGGACGAGACACCAACAAACGAGGAGTCGCTTATAATAACACTTTCAGGTTTCAGAGATGATAGATTTTCCAGATGGATCGGATTCATTCTGTAAAAACTGTAAGAATCAGAAAGAAACGACTTCAACTGAGGCAAATCTTGGATGTCAAGCTATGCAATGCGATGCACATACCTTTCAGTTCGAGACTCCGACTTTCAATACACTCTTTCACACTGTGACTATCAGCATTTTCTTCAGAAGACTTCCAAAAGCACATGCTGGACACTACGATATCGGATAAACTCTCCAGGTCTATGCGTAAATGTGCGGAAAGCATCTCGGACTCCAGATCAAAACCTTTCTACCCTTAAAGAAACTTGAAAACGCGAATTCGAGTGAGGTCAAGCAGGGACAATCTAAAAATTTATCTATTTCTACACCTACTCTACCTCGTAAAACAAATTCTTCAGCGTTATTAAAGCTGAATTCTCCAAGCAGAAGAGTCATCAACGAGGAGCAGCTCGAAATACAAACAGATTTGGTTCTTCGTAAGCAGTATGCACCTATTTCCACCACTCGCAGAGATTTGCAGTTTTGAAATCGTACAGATCCGTTTACTCCCTTGTCAACATACTCGCTGCAGCAGCTCCGATCTAACAGAGTAACTCTGTTTATAGAGTTCTGTCCAATCGCAACAATCGATCGGATCCTTGGAAGCGACTTCTCTGTACATCGTAGCTCACACAGACATGGAAACAGGTTTAAATCCAATGTTTCGATCTCCAGTTCGGGTTCTATTACCAGTGAAGTGATTTGGTTACAAATCAGCTGCACTTCTGGTTTCACAACCAATTCAAGAGCCTGATATGGAAAAGCGCCTTGATGAATAATATGTCCCTCACGTGAATAGCTTGTGCCAAACCCGATACACTCATCATTTACAAATGTGCCTTGATAGTATGGAGTGCCAAGTTCTGGGTAATACTGGATCCCATACCCCATCTTCTTCCCATGGAACATAAAGCCTTCATATTCTAAATTACCATACTTGTCATACAATCTTCCCCAACCCTCAAAGCCGTCACTATCGACGCTTCCCTCCCATCTCTCTCCATGACTGCTAATGTCAAATATAACAAATTCAGAAGGGATAGAATGTTCCTTTGTGATCACATCGTTTTCTACAGAGAAAATCTTATCGATTTGACCATTCACAAGGTTCAATAGTAGCATATATCCATGGATATGGGCTTGTATGCAACATAGAATACAGTAATGCAAATCGTCAACTTTTTTAACCAAATACCCAACAGGCCGAATTCCTCTATCCAAATTGCAATGTGTATGCTCCCATTCCAGCTGGATCTTATTCCCAACCATCAGGTTGGTGTACGTTTCGTAGTTTCCATCTAAAAGCATGTACTCCATCCGTCGTTAAAAATTCACATATAAAACAAACAAAAATACATGGACTTTAAAGCCTCTTCTTGAGTTAGCATAACCGTTTCTTCTCTCTGCTTCTTGGCAAATTGGATAAACACCTGATCCAATGTGCTCTGACTAAGCGTATACTCCTTAATACCCAGCTTCTCCTTGTTCGACTCGAGTAGTCTGAACAAGAAGGACAGAGGCTTGCCCGTTGGAAGGATCACAATCGCATGTGATCCATGGCTTTCTCTAATTTCAATCTTCCCAACCTGACTATTTAGGAACTCCAGAACCTCGTCCATCTTCTTCTTATCATCCTCCGTCTTCAGATCGAGCGTGTACCCATCTCCATACTTGCTCTTCAAGTGCTGGCTGCTTCCTATGCACTCGATCTGTCCATTCACCATAATCGCAATCCGGTTGCACAGAGCGTCCGCTTCTTCCATCAGATGCGTCGTCAGCAAGAACGATCGCGAGGTCGACGAGCTCTTAATGATGTTCCAGAGCTTGCGTCGCGAGACGGGATCGAGGCCTGTGGACGGTTCATCCATAATGATCACTTGCGGATTGCCCATGAATGCGATGGCGACACAGAGTCGACGCTTGTTTCCGCCCGATAAATCGCGCGTGAATTTGTCACGATGCTCTTCGAGACCCAGGCAGATCAAGATGTTTTCGATCACGGACGGAAGCTGCAGACAGTCGATTCCCTTGATTCCTCCGTAGAACCAAAGGCATTCGTAGGTCGTCAGACAGTCAAACAGCACGTCGAACTGCGGACAATAGCCCAAATAGGTGTACGCCTTCTTCACCTCCTTCGGAATCGGGCAGTTCTTAATCGAGCACGTTCCCTTATTGAAGCCCAGCGTGCCCATCAGGATGGAAATGATACTCGTCTTTCCGGCTCCGTTCGGTCCGATCAGACCGAAGCAATCGCCCTCGCAAATGCCGAACGTGACATCGCGGCAGGCTTCGACGGGCGGCGTTTTCTTGCCTCCCGGATAGACTTTCCACACGCCATCGACGCAAACCGCATCGTTTTTGGTGGCGCGGACGCGCTCGATTTCCTTGGCGACGTCCTCATCGGTGGGCCGGTATGGCTGCGCGTCGTAATTGACCTTGTCGGTCTTGATCCACGTCCATCGCTCGACGTAGATCAGCAGAATAAAGAAGACGAATCCCTCGATATAGAGATACGTCATCGCTCGTCCACAGTACTCCCAAGAGAACGGAGAGGGCAGAACCAATCCCTCGATCAGCGAGTTCGGTCCGAAGAAGAGAGCGACGCGATAGGTAACATCCATTACCGTATATCCAGGAACTAAATAGACAATGTAGGTAATCAGATTGAAAATGGTCGGGTTTAGATTGAACTGGTTCAGCAGGAACGTCACCAACATGGCTGCGAGCATGGTGAGCATCACAACATTGGTGAGGTTCTTCTCTGCCGAGGCTGCGGACTTGTAGGGCAGCGATAAGAGATAGCAGAATGGAAGACACGCCCAAGAGAAGCCGAGCAATGTCAAAGTGAGCGGCAACGCGCTGGTCTTCATTCCAGAAGCGAAGAAATAGCAGACGAAGTAGAAAATGAGGATAACGGGGAGGGAGAGAAGGAGATCGAAAATGAGGACTGAAAGCCAGTACAGCACATCGTAGACTCCCATCAATCGCTGCTGCAGTCGAGCCTGCGAGATTCGCTCGCGCGCCACAGCGACGCCAGCATAAATCGGGACGAAGTTGATTCCTTCGCACACATAGATGCAGAAGAAAAGCGTGAACAGAATCTTCAAGACAGAAGTGTTTCGCGCCGTGGTGGGGAGGGAGTTATAGGACACGTTGAGAGAAATTCCGGTCGAACCACTCGCCATGTTGAGTTGTGCCGAGTCCAGTGTCGTGTGCATCAGCGGGAGAACTCCGCTGTACGACGTGTTGAACCAGATTCGCATGCACGGACCTAATGGTGTGGTGGTCGGCTGGACCAACGCCAAGTTGTACGAGTGGTCGAGAATGTAGCGAGCGATCTGCGAGTCATCCGAGATGTCCTCGATCGAATCCGTGACGTCCTCTGCGAACAGACGACTCTCAGGGTAGAGCGGGATCTGCGAGCCGATCCAGTTCTCCATGATGACCTTCTCCGTGGCGTTGTTATAGACATAGAGAATGCCGAGCGAGTGATTGGTCGCGGAGGTCTCGAGAATGCTTTCGTCGAAAATCAGCTGGCTGGTCGTCTGCACTCCCATAAACAAGTCTCCCAAGAACAGGAAAAGTATACCGAACGCCATGCAGAAGATGGGCGCCACGATTTGCTGCAGCAGCTCCTTCTTTTGGCGAACACTCATCAATGCCTTCTTCCAAATCAGCGTTTTCACTTGTCGAGTCACCGAGAACGTACCCTCCGAAACGGGGAATTCCTTACTTTGCGCAATCGGGCTCGCTTCAAGCGGCGAAGGCTTCGGCTGATCCAGCGCCTGGCTCGTATCGACTCCCATTTCAGCCTCCGCAGCCAAGTTCAAAAAGACTTCTTCGAGAGAAGTGGCGGCCACGCCGCTGCTGGAAATGTGGAGTTCGTCCTTCTTGTTCTCCAGCGATTCCAGCACGTCGGCGAATTGCTCGACACTCTCGCGAGGAACGATAATCTGGCAGGACATGTGGTTCGTCTCTTCAATCTTGGCCTCCTTGATGAAGGTTTGAATGTGCGAGAGAATCTTCTGATCGTCGGCGTCCGCGTTCTTCGCGATTTCGAAGTGGTATCCCAGACCATAGCGATTCTTCAAGAAGAGAGACGATCCAGCGACCTGCAGTTTGCCATGCGACATAATCACGATCCGATCGCCCAAGAAGTCGGCTTCGTCCATGAAATGAGTGCAGAGCACGATCACACGGCCCTTCTTTTTCTTTTCTAAGTACTCCCACACCTGATGACGAGACGTTGGATCCATTCCCGAAGTCGGCTCATCCAACAAAACAACGCGCGGATCCCCAATCATAGCCATCGCCACATTGAGACGGCGCTTCATTCCTCCAGAAAGATTCTTCACGTACGTATCTGCTTTGTCCAGCATTCCGATCTATCCGTCACCCAGCCTTGCTATGTCGCTACATCCTTCAGCGATTCCTCGACCAGACCAGGCAGTTTCTCCGGATCCACCTTGCGTAAACGACCGAATAACAGGAGATGTTCTCGGCACTATGGATCAAAACTCTCTCCATCTCATGCGTACCGTCAGCACGTCGATTAGAAGGTTCTGCTGTGGGCAGACGCCGAGTTCTTTTCGGATTTCCTTCATTTCGTGCAGAAGGGATTTCCCGAAGAAGTAAGCATCGCCCGTCGTCATGCCGTAGAGTCCCGTCAGAACGCTGATCAGCGTCGACTTTCCAGCGCCGTTGTGTCCCAAAAGCGCCGTGATCTGGCCCTCGTAGCTGCACAATCAGAGAGGAAACGAAGCGAAATACAAGCAGGTAGAGAAGTCGTCGACAGCCACGATCGGCTGTCCGTTCTTGGTCGCGGGCGGGAAGGTCTTTCCGATGTGATCGATCTTCAGTCCGTCGCGAGCTCGAATCTCCTGATCGACCGGCTCGATGTTTTCCTATCTCTCAATCCCAGAAGACACGCTCTACGCCGACCAATTCCTCGATCGATCCCGGCGTCACTCCTTCCGGGAGGATTTTGTTTTTGCAGTTCTTTGGGTCCAGGCAGAAGCAGCACTTTTCTCTCTTTCCGTATTGATGCTTCCAGACCTTGTTCAAATAATATCCGAAGAAGATCCAGATAATTCCCGAGAGAAGCAGGCAGAGCAGCACCAGTCCCACATTGACGCCGCTGGCCGTAATCGAAGGCTATCCATGAAGAAGAGCGAGCAATCCCACATCAAAAAGAGAGCCAAAATGGATTCCATTCTTCTGCACACTGTCGGCCTGCACGAGCAGAGCGCCCAACTCGGCGACGCTGGTTGAGGGGAGGATAAAGGACGCGACAGCAAAGACCCAGGTCTGCATGTTCTACGAGTGAGCGGCGAAATCATAAGAGGAACCGGAAGGAAGCTGGAAGGGAGACTGGCTAAGACGATGATGAGGATAATAATGCCGCCTCCCGTGGTGGATTTGTCAAATAACGAGGTCAATCCGAGCGTGTAGGAGGTGAGAGAGAATCCCATTCTAGAGAGATAACCGACCATCCTCGCAGAGATACATAAACAGAAAGATGAACACGACGTACCATGGAGTCTTTTGGAAGATGAAGAGCGAGCAGATCAAGGTCCCAACTACACTCACGATAAAGCTGCGAAGCAGGAATGTGCAGTACCAGGAGAGGTACCACACATACTCGTTAAGACCGGTCATGAACAAAGCTTCTTGCATTCGCTTTTCTCGCTCCTCTAAAAGACGGGTGGCAACAGAGATCATCGAAAAAACGATCACCAAGCAAAGATAGGGCGGAAGGACTCCAGAGAGAGACTAGAACGTAAAGAGAGGATGCAATGCGAGATACAGAGACGCGCGTATCTTGATAATAGGAGAGTGTAGGGAACTGACGATAGACCGGTTGATAAACAGAAATAGAGGCGCCCTTCGAGAAGGAAATCAGAGAGTCCATAAAATGCTGCAGCGGTGTAAACATATAAGCTAATGAGGACGCCATTGCATTGGGCGCCTGATGAGTAGTATTAGCGTAGTTCACCCAGTTAGTAATGGTGAATTTATTATATGAAGGACGAATATGATAAGCAACTGACTTGTTTGAGCCGGGTATAAGGGCTGATGGATCTTCAAAATCAAAAGCCATATCCAGCGACTCTTCGATAGCAAGAGATTGGAGTTCCTCTTGCGTACTAATACAGTGGATGTTTAGGTTGATGTTTGCCATATTCATAGAAGCATTAAAAACCATGATCAAGGGAGTTAGTGGAGAATTCTAGAAATGACACAGAGGATACGAGACCACAAGGCATTCTTTGTTGTCCACAGGAAGGAAGGCAACGTGACTTCCAGAAGAAAAAAGGCTACTTGAATAAACAGGAATCGTCGGCATGTCATCATACAGTAAATTTTCCTAATCGTAATGGCGGTATTCATTCATTACGTCGAAGAATTGGTTCTTTACTCCAGCACTAATTCCAACCAAAATGAACAACAACAAAATTGGGTATCTACCAATAACCTGCCAAAAGAACACTTACACTACGTCAAGTACCAACTCGACTGGATTTCGTTTGATCACCAGCCAATTCTTCCAACTGATAATTCTAAATTGTTCTCGTTTGTCTCCAGACATTTTTATGACAAACCTTTCATTGGAAGACCGAATCCAAGGAGTTTCATCAATACTCCTCCATAGTTATAATGGCCATTTGGACTGAAATACGATTCCATACGGTTCCATAAAGAGCAAATGCTCGTCCACCGAGGTTATCTAACAAACATCCATCAATACATCAAATCGTGTTGCATGTGTGATGTACCTTTCGGTTTAACTATTTTATCGTAGTTTTTATTGATTTTGTCCAGAATTGTCGAATAAGCGTTTCGTAAATCTCTAAACCCTTGACACAACGTGAAGAAGCTAAATTGAGAAGCACCATGAAAACAAACTGAGCGTTGTCAAGAGTTCTGATATACTGAACGAGATCAGACACCGCCATATTCCGACGACACTACATCCTAACTCAAAACACACATCCGCACGACAAGAATATTATTCGAGCGATCTTGGAAATACGAGGATAGCGATACGAGCATCTCAACAGCTGAGTCCTTCCCAGCGTCTAACGAATTGAAAAGTTCGTTCTAAATGACCATAGGAATTGAATTCTACTTGAACTTCCTCTCCCAACGGGTGGCCATTGTCGGCAGGAGCGCGGTTGTAGGTGATCCACATACTAGAATCGATATTTCCAGTTGATCAAAATACTATAGCACGTCGTATATATCCAAAAATTCAGCAATTTCTTTCTTTAGTTTCGCATTCAGCTCATTAATCTTCTTCGAATGAAAGAATCCCCAAAAATGCACCTCGTTACAGTCGACACTTTCCCCGCGCATATCTACATCCGGGAGTTCTTCATTCTGCAGAACGGTCTGCTGCATCTCCTAAGCAATAGCAGTCTGGAAGGGCAGTACCTCGATAAATTCACTCAAGTTACATATTTTCCTTGGAAGGACGATCTGGATGATTCGATCTGCTTCTTCTTTGGTTTCCCTTACTAGGTTGCAGAAAAACTAGAATTATATTCAAAAGAAAAGAATACTTCAGTTGGAGGATGGGGTGTGGAATTCATTTTCTAATTCTCTCTTTCGATACTGAGCAATTCAATACAGTAAGGGGTGGAAAGGGAGCAAAGAGGAATCTGAATAAAGATATATATATATGTATATTCTTTTTAAAAGTTGAGAATAGCTCTGTTTTTTGTCATTCATAAAGTCCATCCATCATATACTATTACATTTTTTGCTATGCAAGCCGTTTTACTATGCGTATAGGTAAGTGTGTGTTTGATAAAATTGCCATACCCTAGAAAACAAGCTCTGGACTGCTGTTGTGTGGTTTAGAGAAGAAGTCTAGGAAGAGACCTCATTCTTGCTTTTGAGATGAATATTCAACTGAAATATCCATTTGGAAGAATGATATACTAACGTTCTGTAGGCTTTTGTGTTTGTTCCAAACAGGCTGTGTTACTTACTACAGACAGCTAGCTAGGTCATTCAGAATGGGTACAGTTTCACATTGATACACGAGAACATTTAGCAGGAACAAACAGCCTTGGAAAAATCATTCTAAAGAAAACAACTTCGCATGGGGATTCCTCAGCTCAACCTCTGGGTTATATGTGACTTCGATAACCTAGATCAAATCCTCGCTGATAGAAATACATCATTTGGTGCGGTATCCTTAGGACCAATCTCCGAAGTGACCGGATGGCTCCGTTGCTTCGCTTCCAGGGGCTTTTTAATCACGTTTCCCGTCTGGAGTGACACTCGTTGGCGAACACCATCCACAAGGTTGAACTTCACTTTCGTTGGTTTACTAAATCAGAGGCAATCAAAAAGGCGTACCCTGTGCTGGGGTCTACGAGCTGAACATTTGAATATGCAATCGGTGACTCAACATCAAAAATGCCTCCCGGCTGCTCATCCGTTCCCTTAATGTGCCTCTTTCTCTAAGTATAAACGAATGAAAGCAAAATGACAAAATTCACGCCTTCAACCAGAACGCGATTCAGTTTTCGATCAACACGCAATACTTTTCCTTGTTTTCCCATATCATTGCCGTGAATCACTTCGACCTACGTAAAAAGCGATGCCACTATCACATACAATATCTCCTCGAACAATACTCCAGGTTCGAATTGTATCTGCAGCGTTAATTTTTCTCTGCAATTTAACGTCCATCCTGTGTTTGATAACAGGATGAACTAATCTTTTCATGTTTTGCATTTGAAAAATATACGAAAAATAAAATCTGATAGATACTTTGTTAGTTGATTAAAAATACCGTTTAAGTGAGTAGAATACTCCCCTAATCGATAGGTTTCAGGGTAGAAATGAACAAACCAAATTAGGACCTAGTCAGATTCTGCCGAGAATCCGAGTATTCAATCCTATAGTAATTTTCCACGATGGAATCGGAGTGGTTTCATTATCAGACCATTCATTTTCCTCACTTTTTTCCTAATCAAACAGCATGTCTCACCGTAAATACGAATGTAGGTCTGTGTTGGAGTACTGTGGAGCGATTGTAACGCGTGTGTAGGTCCTCGTCATGGACACATGGGTTTCCTTCCTCGTAAGCGATGCACTCACAACCGCGGTCATGTGCGCAGCTTCCCCAAGGACAAGGCTGACCAGAAGCCTCATCTTACCGCTTTCATGGGATACAAGGCCGGTATGACTCACATCGTGCGTGTCTTGGACCGTCCCGGAAGCAAGGCCCACAAGCAGGAGATCGTGGAGGCTGTGACCATTCTGGAAACTCCTCCCATGGTCGTCGTGGGTATTGTGGGATATGTGGAGACTCCTCGCGGTCTGCGCACCCTGACCACCGTGTTCGCTGAGCACTTGGATGACTCTTGCAAGCGCCGCTTCTACAAGAACTGGTACAACAGCAAGAAGAAGGCCTTCACGAAGTACGCTGCCCGCATGGCTACGGACGAGGGCAAGGAGGCCATGGAGCAGAAGCTGAAGAAGATCGTGGACTACTGCCAGGTGGTGCGTGTGCTGGCCCACACCCAGATCCAGAAGCTGAAGATCGGTCAGAAGAAGGCCCATCTGATGGAGATTCAGGTGAACGGTGGCAACATGGAGGAGAAGGTGGCGTTCGCGAAGAGCCTTCTGGAGAAGGAGGTGAAGGTGAGCGACGTGTTCGAGCCGAGCGAGATGATCGACACGATCGGTGTGACGAAGGGTAAGGGCTTCGAGGGTGTGACCACCCGTTGGGGCACCACTCGTCTTCCTCGCAAGACGCATCGTGGTCTGCGTAAGGTGGCTTGTATCGGTGCCTGGCATCCTTCGCGTGTGCACTTCACCGTGCCTCGTGCGGGTCAGAACGGATACCATCACCGCACCGATGTGAACAAGAAGATCTACCGCATTGGAGCTGCGGGCGACGCCAAGTCCGCTTCCACGGAGGCCGATCTGACGGAGAAGAGCATCACTCCCATGGGAGGCTTCCCTCACTACGGAGAGGTCAACAACGACTGGATCATGGTGAAGGGAGGTGTGATGGGATCCAAGAAGAGAGTCATCACGCTCCGCAAGTCCCTCCGCACGCACACTCGCAGATCCGACCAGGAGAACATTGTCCTGTCCTTCATCGATACCTCCTCCAAGATGGGTCACGGAAGATTCCAGACCACCGCCGAGAAGGCCAAGTTCTATGGAACCCTCAAGAACTAAGAGAGTCGAACGATCGATTGGGAAATAATTGTTTGTTTGAAATGGAGAGAATAAACAAGTGTGTGTAACAAAAATAGAAAGAGGGAATAATATACTATAGAGGAGTAATAATATACTATCCCCTCCAAATCAGATTGATAATATAGAATAATCCTGTTTAATACATGTTAATAACATTGTGATTTGACATGTCATTCATGTTTCTCGATTGAAAGAATGAACTCTTTGCCGTAAAACTTGCTTTTCTGTTTTGTAACACACGAGTATAGTGTTGTTTTATCGGCATATTCCAATTGTAGTCAAAATAGATCAGCAATATGGAACATAATAGACTGTCTCACCTCAAATGGACTTACGAACCATAGAATTGGACTTTACGTGTTCTCATAGACTCGGGATGGGACTAACTCAAACATATCACTCAACGGCCTATGGAAAGGATGAGAGAGAATTAACAGAATCGATAGCCAAGCATGAAGGACACAAAAAACAATTTAAAATAGTAACCTAACAATATGTGTTATACTACTGATTACTCATTGTGTTTTTAGGATCACATCTGTAAAATAACGAGAAAGACAAGAATAATAGTATCTATGCAATCTCTATATCGACGTTATTATGCAACTGGAATTGGTAGTAACAACAGACAAATCTCAGATATTTCCAGATTGACAAACTATATTTCCTATACCTCTCCGGTTACCCAGAATTTGTCAGATCAGAAAAAAGGCATTTTCCATCAAGTATGAGGTAATGAGAAATAACAAAAAGAGAAATATACATATATATGTGACAGTACATACGCATATATGCCCAAAATTTTAAAATATAGGTTCACTTGTCATTTCAATGACGACCACTCTATATTCGACCATAGGTTACCTAGCAAACATAATCAATACACGCAAAGGCTAAAATTATCCCATTTGGCGTTGAGTTTCCCAAATCGAACACAATCGAAAAGACGTTAATTTAGACTTCAACCACAAAAACGTTACTTTCCAAGTTGACCATAATTTTATTATTTTCTCTTTCAGCGAAAAAAGTTAACTTAAATGAGTGATATAGAAAGTGAAAAGGAAGTTGCCCCTAGCACTGATCAAACAATGCCAAGGGAAGAAGAAAACGTGAAGTTAGAGAGAGGCCACTTTTGGGAAGGCAACCTCTCTGAGAAGTTTACCATTAAGGAATCTACGGAAAAAGATGGTCATTTCGATGTAGTGTTGGAAGAACCCTTTCAGGGTATTCGTGTCAATACAACGTTGCAGAACAACAAAATGCACGGAGAAACAACATTTACTTCGGAGGATGGAGTTGAACTCGGTAAATTGACTTTTGTGGAAGGAATTGCTACGGGACCTTGTACATTGAATGATGAGTCAGGCAAACTGTATTTCAAAGGAAGAATGGAAGAGGGATATCGCCAAGGTCGAGGAGCGGAATATGATGAGTCTGGCAATGTGACATTCGATGGTTTTTATGCCAAGGGAACCAAGCTTGAAAACATCGTTCCATTAGAAGAAGTGAGTGGATACTGGAAAGAATACAACGCCGAGCACAAATTGGTCAGTATTAGTCAGCGAGATGATTTCGGAAGAAAAGAAGGAATTTGCTATTTCTATGATGGTGAAGAGAAGATGGACCGAATCAGTGAATGGAAGGAAGATAAGGAAGTATCCACTTCGGGTTATTGTGAGATATTCGACGAGCCGCGCAAAGTGTGGTATAAGGGTTATTTTGATAATGGAAAACGAGTCTTTACTGTTCCATTAGAAGAAAGAAAAGGATACTGGAAGGAGTGCAACGAAGACAACAAACTAGTTTGTATTTGTCGCAAAGATAAAGAAGGCAAGTACGATGGTATTTGTTATTTCTATAACAACGAAAAGATCAGTCAAGTCAGCTATTGGGAGCATGGAAAGGAGGTGAGAGTCATAAAGCAGTTCAATGGCCTAACAATGACTGAATACAACGATGAGAAGCAGAAGCTGTATGAAGGAGAATACCTAGATTCTTTTGAATTGGACTATCCCCGACATGGAAAGGGAACCAGTTACAAGAATAACGAGGTCAATAAAAAGACGACTTGGCTAACTGGTTATTCGACACAGGGACTATTGCTGACATTCTTGGCAATAGTAATTGTGTTAGTTATTTTATTTGTGATAGATGTGATTTTGGGTCTTGTTGTTACAGCAATTGTCGACTTACTGGTTATTATTCGATGGAGTTGTCCTAAGCTGTTGGGTAGTAAACTATGTAACAAGACAGACCTCCAGTTAATGGCAGATTACATGAAAACTAAATCTTCCAAGACTACAGAAAAAGAAAAAGAAACCGAAAAGAAAAAATCGTCTAATTGTTTTTACAATAACATTTATTTAACAATAACTGTTATTCTTTCTCTTATTATTGTATGTGTCTTAATTGGTGCCCATTTCTACTATTCTTTGGTGAATCCTTACGTGAGTGTGTTTCAAGGTACCTACAAAGTGGGGTCGAATAAACTCAACAAGCTATCTGGATTTAAGATTAGTAATAGAGCGTTGCTGAAGTCAATTGAAATTGGAACCGGTTGTTTTGAAGTTGCTTCTGTGTTCCAAATCAAGGGACTGAACTCGCTGAACTCTGTTAAGATCGGTTCGAATTCGTTTACTGAGCAAAGAAACAATTTTGGAAATGATGGATCGAAATCATTCCATATTTTGAATTGTAAAAATCTACAATCAATCGAGATCGGTGAATATAGTTTTAGTGATTTCGGAGGTGACTTTGAGATAAAGAACCTTCCTTCTTTGAAATCTCTTGAAATAGGTGTGATGAACACATCATCCTATAATTTCTATTCTGTGAAATCGTTTATTATTGAAGGTATGGAGCAGTATTTCTCAGGTTGGTAATTGAATAGATCTTCCTACGCTCAACACGATATCTTTTGGAGATTCTGCATTCTATGATTTCCAGTTGGCTGCTTTCAATAGTAGGAAATATTATGAGTGTGAGTGCTAATGACTAGATCTTCCTGAATTGAATTCAATCAATCTGGGACAGCGCGCATTCTATGGTAAACATGATATGTCTTGTGCATTGATGATGGAAGGTACGCCAAGTAATGAGTGATGTATAAACAATAGATCTTCCGAAGTTATCATCGATCCATTCTGTAGGATATAGTTTCTATTATCCTCGCAATGTTACACTCAACAGTATTGCTAGATAGTAATTGTAATCATAATGTAGACATTCCTAATCTTGAAAGTGTGGAATTGCCAGACTCATTTGGATATTATTTTTACTTAACTGTAAATAGTATGTGTAAAACGATTTTTGTATAACGTGTAGATGTTCATGAATTGTTGTCACACTATGTGCCTAGCAATGTTTATCACATCGATGATTTGTATGAATCAGTGGATGTAATTCCATCGGATGCTGAAAAGATCATAGTGAAAGAGAATTCTTTTGGTAATACTGAAACCTTATCAATCAATAACTACCCGAATTTGACATCTCTTGTATTTGAAGACAATACGTTTAAGAATGTGAATTCTGTGGAGATCAATGGAGATAATATCGAAGAAGTTGTTATTGGGGATAACTGCTTCTCGAAGTCGGAGTCTGGAGTGGAGGGAAGTAGAAGATTGGAGGATACGGGCAGTATTGATTTGACTCTTCCACATACAGAGCGCATTAGAATTGGAAGTAAGTCAGCACTGAATGTGAATACATTGGTGTTCAATGAGCTATTGGACAGTGTGGAATTTGAATTGGGTAGTGAATCGATGAGGAATATCAATTTGATTCGGTATAGTTACGGAATCTCAACTGATACAATTAACGGCATCAAAACGGCAATTGAAAACAATAAAGGAGAAGGTGAGTCAATTGAAACGGAGACAATTAATACTCCTTCAGTTATTCCTACTACTGCAGCTCCTACTGAAGCGCCTACGACTCAGGTTCCTACTACCGAAGTTCCTACTGAAGCGCCTACGACTCAGGTTCCTACTACCGAAGTTCCTACTGAAGCGCCTACGACTCAGGTTCCTACTACCGAAGTTCCTACTGAGGTACCCACTACCGAAGCTCCTTCTACTGAGGTTCCTACTGAGGTACCCACTACCGAAGCTCCTACCGAAGCTCCTTCTACTGAGGTGCCTTCTACTGAGGTGCCTACTGAAGCTCCTTCTACCGAAGCTCCTTCTACCGAAGCTCCTTCTACCGAAACTCCTTCTACCGAAGCTCCTTCTACCGAAGCTCCTTCTACCGAAGCTCCTACCGAAGCTCCTACCGAAGCTCCTTCTACCGAAGCTCCTTCAACTGAGGTCCCCACTACTGTTGCTCCTACCGAAGCTCCGACTACTGAGGTGCCTACCGAAGCTCCTACTGACGAGGTACCTACGACTGAGGTGCCTACCGAAGCTCCTTCTACTGAAGTACCCACTACTGTTGCTCCTACCGAAGCTCCGACTACTGAGGCGCCTACCGAAGCTCCTACCGAAGCTCCTTCTACTGAGGTGCCTACCGAAGCTCCTTCTACCGAAGCTCCTACCGAAGCTCCTACTACTGAGGTGCCTACCGAAGCTCCTACTGACGAGGTACCTACGACTGAGGTGCCTACCGAAGCTCCTTCTACTGAGGTGCCTACTGCTTCTCCTACTACCGAAGTTCCTACTGAGGAAGTACCCACTACCGAAGCTCCTTCTACTGAGGTGCCTACCGAAGCGCCTACTGAGGAAGTACCCACGACTGAGCTGCCTACAACTCAATCTCCCACTACTGAGGCTCCTACAACTCAATCTCCCACTACTGAGGCTCCTACGACTCTGCCTCCCACTGAGGCTCCTACCACTTTGCCTCCTATTGAATGTGGCGAGAGACAGTTCGCGGTTACGGTTACCCGTACTTGTGGAAAGTTTGGATCTGAAGAATCGGTCAGCATTTATGAAGGAACTATTTTATCTGGTAGTCGCGTTTATCAGGAGACTACTTGTACTGCTGGTACCTTCTATTTCTGCATGAGACCTATGCAGCACACGATTGTGTTGACGGATAGTGCTCGCGATGGTTGGGATATTAGCTCGTCTATTGTATTGAAGAGTGGAGGTATGTCTCTTTCTTACACTTTGGACACTGGAAGTTCTGTTACTTATTCATTCAATCTGACTCCTTCTGGGGTTCCTACTGAACTTCCTCCTACTGCTGGTCCTACGACTGCTACTCCCACTACTGAGGTGCCTCCTACTGAGTCTCCTACGACTGTTACTCCTACTGAGGCTCCTACGACTCAATCTCCCACGACTCTGCCTCCCACTGAGGCTCCTACCACTTTGCCTCCTATTGAATGTGGCGAGAGACAGTTCGCGGTTACGGTTACCCGTACTTGTGGAAAGTTTGGATCTGAAGAATCGGTCAGCATTTATGAAGGAACTATTTTATCTGGTAGTCGCGTTTATCAGGAAACTACTTGTACTGCTGGTACCTTCTATTTCTGCATGAGACCTATGCAGCACACGATTGTGTTGACGGATAGTGCTCGCGATGGTTGGGATATTAGCTCGTCTATTGTATTGAAGAGTGGAGGTATGTCTCTTTCTTACACTTTGGACACTGGAAGTTCTGTTACTTATTCATTCAATCTGACTCCTTCTGGGGTTCCTACTGAACTTCCTCCTACTGCTGGTCCTACGACTGCTACTCCCACTACTGAGGTGCCTCCTACTGAGTCTCCTACGACTGTTACTCCTACTGAGGCTCCTACGACTGTTGCTCCTACGACTCTTCCTCCCACTGAGGCTCCTACCACTTTGCCTCCTATTGAATGTGGCGAGAGACAGTTCGCGGTTACGGTTACCCGTACTTGTGGAAAGTTTGGATCTGAAGAATCGGTCAGCATTTATGAAGGAACTATTTTATCTGGTAATCCCGTTTATCAGGAAACTACTTGTACTGCTGGTACCTTCTATTTCTGCATGAGACCTATGCAGCACACGATTGTGTTGACGGATAGTGCTCGCGATGGTTGGGATATTAGTTCGTCTATTGTATTGAAGAGTGGAGGTATGTCTCTTTCTTACACTTTGGACACTGGAAGTTCTGTTACTTATTCATTCAATCTGACTCCTTCTGGGGTTCCTACTGAAATTCCCACTACTGCTGGTCCTACGACTGCTACTCCCACTACTGAGGTGCCTCCTACTGAGTCTCCTACGACTGTTACTCCTACTGAGGCTCCTACGACTGTTCCTCCTACTGAGGCTCCTACTACTCTGCCTCCTACTACTGAGGTACCTCCTACGACTGCTGCTCCCACTACTGCTGCTCCCACTACTCTTCCTCCCACTGAGGCTCCTACCACTTTGCCTCCTACTACTCTTCCTCCTACTGAACCGATTCCTGAGTGCGGAGAGGACAAGCTGCTGCTCGAGATTATTCGTGTGTGTGGTACTTATCCTAGCGAAGAGCGAGTGGATATTTATCAGGGAACAGATCGTCCTTTCACTGGTACTCCTCTGTACAGTGAGTCTGTATGCACTGCTGGAACTCATTATGTATGCATCAACCGTGTTGCTCACACGATTGAGCTGCGTGATTCTGGCTATGATGGATGGAATGGTAATTCGCATGTTACTTTGAAGAGTGGTTACATGTCTATGACTTACACTTTGACTGCTGGAGGTTCATATGCTTATCATACCTTTGATATGACTCCTACTGAGGCTCCTACTGAACCTATTCCCACTACTGCTCCCACTACTCCTGCTCCCACTACTCTTCCTCCCACTGAGGCTCCTACCACTTTGCCTCCTACTACTCTTCCTCCTACTGAACCGATTCCTGAGTGTGGAGAGGACAAGCTGCTGCTCGAGATTATTCGTGTGTGTGGTACTTATCCTGAAGAAGAACGAGTGGATATTTATCAGGGAACAGATCGTCCTTTCACTGGTACTCCTCTGTACAGTGAGTCTGTATGCACTGCTGGAACTCATTATGTATGCATCAACCGTGTTGCTCACACGATTGAGCTGCGTGATTCTGGCTATGATGGATGGAATGGTAATTCGCATGTTACTTTGAAGAGTGGTTACATGTCTATGACTTACACTTTGACTGCTGGAGGTTCATATGCTTATTACAATTTTGATATGACTCCTACTGCTGGTCCTACTGAATCTCTTCCTACTACTTTGCCTCCTACTGAACCTATTCCCACTACTGCTGGTCCCACTGAGGCTCCTACCACTTTGCCTCCCACTACTCCTGCTCCTACTACTCTTCCTCCTACTGAACCGATTCCTGAGTGTGGAGAGGACAAGCTGCTGCTCGAGATTATTCGTGTATGTGGTACTTATCCTGAAGAAGAACGAGTGGATATTTATCAGGGAACAGATCGTCCTTTCACTGGTACTCCTCTGTACAGTGAGTCTGTATGCACTGCTGGAACTCATTATGTATGCATCAACCGTGTTGCTCACACGATTGAGCTGCGTGATTCTGGCTATGATGGATGGACTGGCAACTCGCATGTTACTTTGAAGAGTGGTTACATGTCTATGACTTACACTTTGACTGCTGGAGGTTCATATGCTTATCATACCTTTGATATGACTCCTACTGAGGCTCCTACTGAACCTATTCCCACTACTGCTCCCACTACTGCTGCTCCCACTACTCTTCCTCCCACTGAGGCTCCTACCACTTTGCCTCCTACTACTCTTCCTCCTACTGAACCGATTCCTGAGTGCGGAGAGGACAAGCTGCTGCTCGAGATTATTCGTGTGTGTGGTACTTATCCTGAAGAAGAACGAGTGGATATTTATCAGGGAACAGATCGTCCTTTCACGGGCAGTCCTCTGTACAGTGAGTCTGTATGCACTGCTGGAACTCATTATGTATGCATCAACCGTGTTGCTCACACGATTGAGCTGCGTGATTCTGGCTATGATGGATGGACTGGCAACTCGCATGTTACTTTGAAGAGTGGTTACATGTCTATGACTTACACTTTGACTGCTGGAGGTTCATATGCTTATCATACCTTTGATATGACTCCTACTGCTGGTCCTACTGAACCTATTCCCACTACTGCTCCCACTACTCCTGCTCCCACTACTCTTCCTCCCACTGAGGCTCCTACCACTTTGCCTCCTACTACTCTTCCTCCTACTGAACCGATTCCTGAGTGCGGAGAGGACAAGCTGCTGCTCGAGATTATTCGTGTGTGTGGTACTTATCCTGAAGAAGAACGAGTGGATATTTATCAGGGAACAGATCGTCCTTTCACTGGTACTCCTCTGTACAGTGAGTCTGTATGCACTGCTGGAACTCATTATGTATGCATCAACCGTGTTGCTCACACGATTGAGCTGCGTGATTCTGGCTATGATGGATGGAATGGTAATTCGCATGTTACTTTGAAGAGTGGTTACATGTCTATGACTTACACTTTGACTGCTGGAGGTTCATATGCTTATCATACCTTTGATATGACTCCTACTGAGGCTCCTGTTTCTCGCTCGGTTGCTGCCTCCCAAGCCACTGCTTCATCTGTCAATTTCATTCCTCAATGTGCTGAGGATCAATCTTTGCTGGAGATTGTTCGCACTTGTGGAGTGAATAGCAGCGAAGAATCCTTCGATATCTATTATGGAATGGAGCCTTCGAGTTCAACCGAAGTATTTAGTCAGAGTTCTTGCATTGCTGGAACATATTATACATGCATTAGTCCTGTTGAACACACTTTAGTAATGCGGGATACAGGTCTGAATGGCTGGTCTTCGGGCTCTCTTTTGATTCTGAAGAGTGGAAAGGTTTCCTTGGCTTATGCTATGGAAAGTGGAAACGCCATTGCTCACAAGGTCTTCAATTTCGGTTCTGCAGTTGATCAAACTTCTGGTGACATCATGATGTCCGAAGACCGAATGAAAGTCACATTGATTCGTTCATGTGGCAACTCGTCTGATTCTGAAGGATTTGCGATCTATGAAGGTGCCTCGCGTGATCGCGCCATCTACCGCCAGACTCACTGCATTGCCGGTGTGGTGAATCTGTTCCTTTCTCGAGGTATTTACACGATTGTGATGACGGAAGCGAATGGAGAGGCTTGGGAACAGAATTCGGTGGTTCGTATTTTCAAGAATGGTCTGCTTGGATCGTACAGAAAGACGGTGGTGGGTGCTGAAGAATCGAAGCACTTCGAGTGTGTTGCGGAGCTCACAACCTCGGAACAATCGCTGGTTGGAAGTGGAGTGGCTCAATCGAGCAAGGCGAGCATGACTGGTTACTCGGTTGAGAACCTGTTCGATAACTCGGTTTCTACCAAATATCGCGTCGCTGTGACGAGCTCGGATTTCCCTGTGGAAGTGACCTACACGTTCCCTGATGGCAATGAATACACGATGAACAAGTATGTGCTCACCAACGGCGATTCGACGGCTGCTGCTTGCAACACGTGGAAGATCTTCGGTAGAAAGAACGAAGATAGCAACGAATGGGTGATGCTGGATAGCCAGGATAGTGTGGAATGGAGCGAAGGCAATCAGTCGCTGAGCTTCACTGTGAACAATGCAAGTGCTTTCAATGCTTACATGTTCCAGTGCAGCGCGGTTGTGAATATCGATGACGAGAATAACGGAAGTCAGTTGGAAATGGCGGAATGGAAGTTGATCCAAGCTTAATTGAAGAAGAAGTAAACAGAGTTGAACAGAAATGAATAAAGAAAGATCTACAACAATGCGTCAAAGTATAGAAATGAATTGCAATGTTTGTTGAAAGAAACACACAACAGATCAGGATGCACAGAACGGAAGCAATCCATATAACTCTCATAGGTGATCTCGCCGTTCTTACTCTCGCTGCGCGCCATTTCCTGGATCAACAGCAACTCCTTGATCGGCACTCCCATGGTAATCTCGGAAGACACCTTCGCGATCACTTCTTCGCTCATGCCTCCAGTCTTGCGCAGCACACTCGCGACATCCTGCGACGCGTACGGCACCGGAATGTCCTTGATCACGTTGAACGGCTAGCCCTCATCCCCGTCCCTCGTCCCTACGTCCATCAGGCCCAACTCCTCCATTGCCGTTCGCTGCGAGGTCGTCGCGATGATCATCAGCTTCCGGCCCTCCGTGGGCGGGATCTTCTTGATCAGAACCAGCAGCGCCTGCAGCACCGCGTTGCTGAAGCGCGGTCCCAGCCGCACGTACTCCACCAGCCGCTCCAGATCGTCCAGAATGATCATCGACAGCGGCGATTTGTAGGCGTCCTGGAAGATGGCGGAGATGCGGCCCGCCTTCGAGCTGTCGGCGGCGCCGAGCAGCATATCCGCCGAGATGAACTTCACGAACGGGAACTTTGACTCCACGGCGAGGTACGCGGCCAGCGCGGTCTTTCCGCAGCCTACACGTCAGTCCGGGCGCTCGCTTGGACCCTGGATGCCGTCCAGACAGACCGACATGAGCGGCGTCTGGTCGGAGTTGCGGACCTGGTCCACCATCGTCATCAGCTCGGCGTACAGCTTCTTGAACTCCTCGGAATACTCGATGATTCCGTTGCGGAAGCGGATGGACAGCTCGTCCTTCTCCAGACCGAACGCCGGCTGCACTTCCTGCAGCGCGCGCTGGAAGTCCTGCCAGGTGACGCGCATCTTCTCGGGGTCGATGGAGACCTTGGTGAGGTTGTTGATGTCCACCTCGCGCTCCAACGCGAAGGACGACGCGCTCTTCACCAGACCCTCCAGCTCGGCGCCCGTGAAGTTCTTCGTCAGCTCGGCCAGCGCGTTGAGATCCACGTCGTCGGCGAGGTAGCCGTTGCTGCGCATGGTGTTGGTGTGGATCGAGAGAATCTGCACGCGGCCCTCGTGCGAGGGCAGGCCGATCTCCACGTGGACCTCCAGACGGCCCGGACGCAGCAGCGCGGGGTCGATGAGGTCTTTGCGGTTGGTCATACCGATGATCAGCACGTTGTTCAGCGCCTCGACGCCATCGATCTTGGACAGCAGCTGGTTGACGATGCTGTCGTGCACGCCGGTGCCTACTCCTCATCCTCCCGACGAACAAAAACCATCGCCGTTGGCGCCTCGCGACTTGCAGATCGCATCGATTTCATCGAAGATGATGATGTGCAGGTCGCTGTTGTCGCCCATCTCCTCCTGCTCCTTCTCCGCGTCCTCGAACAGCGCGCGGATGTTCGCTTCCGACTCGCCCACGTACTTGTTCAGGATCTCCGGGCCGTTCACCACCTTCGGCTCGTGCGCGTTCAGCGCCTTCCCGATCTGCCGCGCAATCAGCGTCTTACCGCAGCCCGGAGGGCCGTACAGCAGCATGCCGCGCACGTGCTTGATGCCCATCTTGCGCAGCACTTCCGGAGGGAACACACGCGACGCGAACGCGCGGCGGAAGATGTCGGCGAACTCCTTGTCCAGACCGCCGATGCCCATCGCCTGGAAGTTGAAGCCGCGCTCGAAGAGACGGCTGTTCCCGCTGCTCGAGCCGCCCTGGATGCGGATCGCAGCGTCCTTCTTCTTCTTGAAGAGCAGGGTCGACGCCTTCACGAGCTGGCCGCAGGGACGGCCGAGGACCGGCTCGGATTTCTGGCCTTCGATCTCGATGAACTCCATGCCCGTGCAATGCAGACGGAGCTGCAGACCTTCCAGGTTGCAGGCAAGCTGAGAGTGAGGAGGGCGGGGAGAACAGCGGTACGAGCTGGTCGGTGCAGAACATCTGGCGACCGTAGAGATCCTTCATCAATGTGGTGAGCTTGTCACAATCGACATCGATCGGCTAGGGGTGATGAATGGGGAGCTGGGATCGAACCTTTCCGGAAGTGTTCTTCTTGAGGAGCTCGATCTCGAAAGTGACATTGTTGAGGCAGCGAATGTTCTCTTCAGGGTACACAGAAACCTCGATTTCCTTATTATTCGCAAGCTGAGCGCACATTCTCTGCAACATACCGCAAGCCAGCTGATGTCTCTCCATCCCTTCAAACGGCCTGACAGATGACACTCCTTCAATCATAACAAACCTTGCCGTGAACACAAATTCGTTCACCTGGATGAGAACACCCGCTTTTGTATCGTCAATCTTTCCAGCGTCATTCGCGAGCTAGGAATCATAAGATCCTATGGATCCCACCTTGTCGTAGTCTCTTTCGCTCACGTAAACACAGTTTGTATAACTACCTATTATCACACCAAAAGTAGGGCTACGCAAGACTATTATTTGGCAAACCAACAACCTTAAATGTGCGACCCATTCCAACTTAGATTTATTTAGCTACATTCTTTGGATGATGGCAGAATTCGGAGCCATTTTCGTAATGAGAAATGAAACTCCGTATCAAGGTTTTTTGCACAAATTTGATGAAATCAACAGAAAATAGTATATAGTCATATTCTACATCACAAGGTCCAAATTCTCTCACGTTTCCCTCATTCGCTCCGCTATCTTGTGCACGTACGACACCAGCAACGCATTATGCTTTGTTCTTTCACTCTCTCCAGGCAATAGTGAGTGTTTTGTTGGATTTCCAGACAAGGAATCAATATGTTCTGAGAGAGTGATGATCGCTCTCAAATCCTAGTATTTAAAAAAATTATCATAATGGTCAATACGGATTCATGATTCTTTTGCATTAATCGTAATTCCTCAACGAGCTTCCTACAGGTCAATCAACAAAGATGGATCCAACTTTCTATCTTCATTCATTTGAAAATGCTCCAAAGAAGAGCTAGAGTCAGATGAAGCTGGATTCGAGACTCCCTACAGAATGCACAGGATCCATGGTACCCTACTTTTTGCACAGCCAATTCTTTTTTCTCTGATTCCAACTGTTCAATGCGCTTCGAGAGCACCTGGTGTTGTTCTTTATAGCTTTCTATCCATCATCCTCCCAAATTATTCCCATATACGTATTTCCTCTTCCAACTTTCTTTCATACTCATTTCGGACTGACCATTCGATTCCTTCAAAAACCTCCAATTCTTTCTACAAATGAACCTCACCATGCACAGCAACAGCCACTTGCGATTCAATATCGTAGTAACATTCAATAGATGTACTCATCGATAAATCAAAATGTGAAAAACCCTGTGAAACGTATCAAACAAACAATCCGAGTTCAAAGTTCCCAAATAGTTACATAAAAGGTAATAATAACTTGTGCACAGGCTCTCCCGTTTCTACCATTCCAATATAAATCACTAACGGTATAAAACCGTAGTAAACAGCTTTCTGCACATTATTGCCGTTCATTCAAAACCTACCATCGCCAAGTTATTCCCCTTTTCGAACAGCTTCTTTAAATCAGCTAGAAGTCGTTTCCCCTTTTTGTTCATTTATATTAATAAAGAATTGTCTTTTTAGACGATTTGTGGTAGTGATCAAAACCCGATCACACCAGAATTCACTTGTTCTGAATGAATTCGTTTAGTTTTACTCAGCCACCTAGTCTAAAGACGATTGCCTATCCAAGTATATAATATTGTTGTGGAGATGAGTACCTAGAAGGAAATCCACCTAGCTCGGGAGTGTCTTCCGATTCGTATTCGTCTTCTAAAGACTCGTATAATGTTGCTTCTGCAAACTAGCGTCTAGAGTGTGCTTTTCTTGGGGACAAGGAAATAATATGGCACTCACAGCAAAGTATGTGTGTAATTTGTTATTTGATTTGTAGGGATGTCGAATAGTGAGCATCTCTCTGATGTGTAGGGAATAACTCCCAAATGCGTTCGTTGTTTCTCTGCCGATAAATCTGATGAAATTCACGCATCGGTATATAGAAAAATCTTGATTTTAGGAGTAGATTATCCGTGAGCTCTACCCATATTATAAAACGTTCCAACGCGATGTTCAATTAACAAAGAGTATAGTCTCCTATTCATTTCGAATAGACCTCCGTTCCACGATCCTCTCCTATTGCCAAACTCTCACAAACCAGCTCCAAAAGTTCAGCCAAAAATGCCCCAAGCCGGCCATTAAGATCGCTATGGATGTTTCTCTTTCTTACTCTTTTGTCTATCGTGTATAGGAGATCGAGAAATGCATTTGCATCTTCTCTCTGTTCTTCGTAACGCATCATCGCTCGGTTTTCGCCTTCAAATCGTCGTTCATTTCCTTCCTCCAAGTCTTTCTTCTTTCCTTTCGTTCCTTTCAGGAATTCTACGTTCCATCCATCGACCAGGATCAATACGACGCGATGGAGAGCCAGCCTGCTTCCTACGAGACCGAGGAAATCATCGACATGATCGAGCAGTTAATTCTCTGTGGCGATGTTCCTGCTTCTTTTCGAAATCATTTGATCAGATGCCGCGTCTCTCTTCCTTTTTGCAGTCTCTCCAACAAGCTTCGATTCCAATACCCGATTTAGAAATCGTTTTTTTCTCTCTTTCTGCGACACTCTAGTTCCAATCCCTCGCTGCTTCCTGCCCCTATTTCACAGCCTCCAAAGAAGTCGATCCAGAATTCACGTGGAAAGAAGTTTCTTTTTTCCTCCTTATTTCATTCACCATAGAAATGTTTTCTCGCGTTCACCGAAGCCAAAGCTCGCAAATTTCCCCTTCTCAAACTCTTCAAACTCTTCACTGGCGAGATTACGAAAGGATCGTGGTGCGTTTAAGTCTCATTTCTGAAGCAAAGGGAGCAGGAATTGCTCTGGGATCTTCTCTTCCGATCGCGGATTCGCGTCCGATCCGACCTTCTGAACACAATCAAGCGATACAATCATCATCTTTATCTGCTGTGCAGTTCTCCGTTTGATGTGGGATCGCTGAATCTGGTTTTGATTGGCTAGTTGATCTCGATGATCATGGAAACGGGCCTTTCGTTCTTGGCGTATCAAGTCGCGGTGATGATGATTCTGTTCAACACGGTTTTCTCTCTTTTCTTTTTGTCGATTTTTTGTAGATTTCGCCCTCGAATAACGATGTCGTCGTCTCGGAGAAGCTTTTGAAGGACGTCGTGGCGGATTGTTTGACCAACCAGATCGACGTTTCCATTCCGATTTCGCTCGTCGATGTATTTCCTTCCTCGCTCTCTTTTCCTTCAATAGACGCAACTCCCGATCGGCATTCGAGCCATCCAGAAAGATCTGATTCTGCAGATCTTCCAAAGCCAGCAGCTCGCGAATGAGGACCACGCTCGCTACCTTCTCTCCATCGCTTCCTCTCTCTCGTTCCTCTTCCACTCCTCTCTCCACGATTAGAAACGCGTCTCTCCAAGTCCAAGTCAAGCAGCTGCTCTACACGCAGGTGATTCTGCAGTATCTTCGCATCGATCAAGTCTTCCCCGCCGCGCATTGGGAGCTTCAGCTCATCAACGATTGCTCTCTGCACCGCGTTCCCAGCCTCGTCGCCGAATACGCCTTTGAGCGAATGCTCAGCGAGCCGGAGAATCTTGTGGCGGACGTGCGAGGGCTGTGTTCCGTCCTCGCGCAGAGCAGCGAGTTCGTGAATCTGGACGCGCTCAGTGAGTTTTCGGACGTCGTCGAAGGGCTTTGCGTAGGGAAAGGGAGAGGAATCGAGGGCAGAAGGGAGGGGACGTGAATAAGGAGCTCGCGGTCTTCATGCGAAGGCTTCGCTCGCTGGATGATTCGCATCGATGGCCCGCGTTCGCTGTGTTTATTGGCGTCTCACGCGTAGAACCGTTCGACTGATTCTCTTGGTGTTCAACGCGCTGGCGAATCAAACGACCGCTGCGCAGAAGCTCTCTCTGCAGAGTGTGCTGGACGTGAACGCGCTCTTTGTGGTGGGACGTGGATTCGATGGCTCAGGGCGTAGTTTTGCAGGAATCTGGAGGACACGAAGTCCCAATTTCAAGACCCTCAGGAGATTTCCGCTGTGTTTTGCAAGGAAATTCGATCAAAGATTGCCTCTCGATGGCTTGTTTGTTCCAAAAAACAAAGCACTGAGATGATCTCGCCTCTTGCCAGCGCTTCCAATCACCAAAGGTATCTAAACCGGCAAGGAGAAGCGCGTAGCCGACGTAATGCTTGAAGTTGGGGAATTTTATGAAGGGAAGCAAAGCGACCGAAACTCCAGTAATGTTGTTGTAGAAGTCGCTGCTCCTTCGCTTGACCTCCATGGTTGTTTTCACCACTTGGTAGACGGTGAAGAAACTAGACATTATTTCTTGAACCTACAACTACCCTCCCATGGAGAGCATGTTGAGCGAAACAGCACGGGCCGCTGCTCGCATCATAGTAGCCTTTGATTGTCCTTTTTTAGTGACAACACCGTATATATCCAGCATACTAAGCATTCCACCCAGCATACATCCAGAAGACAAGCCGAAAGGGATTACCTTTTTAAGCTGGTCACCCAAGGACTTCTCATCACCTTTCTCATCCTTCTCTTCCTTCATAAAGACGTTCTTGATCTTGTTCTTGGCTATCTGTATCTTTGTTTGTGTGGAATCAATCTCAGGCTCTTCCTCTATAATATCGTCGTCGTCCTCCTCATCGTCGTCGAGTTTCGTCCAAACTTCCTTACTTTTCATTTTGGGAGGTGTTTTACTGTTCCTTGCAGACGACCAACTGCTCATGCTAAACGACTCAAACAAACAAAAACAATTTATACATTCTACAACAAAAACATTGTTCGCACCGCCATAGCCCAAAATATATCGATTCTGATCACCACTAATGCAGCAAGTTAGCCAGTACGCATCCGACTTGTTTGTCTTATTCATATTTAAACTGCTCTTGCCTAACCGCAGCACGCCCTGCTCCTTATTCAACACATCGATATGCCCATAATCCAGCCCCAACACAGTGACCTTCTCCTTTCCACTCAAAACGAGCTTCGACGTGTGCGTTACATACAGCACATCTCCCAGATTCGTTGTCATCGCTATCAAGTTCCCGTCCTCACTCATGCATGCATTCGCAATCGTCGCTTTCAAATCCGCTCTACGTCTCACCATCCTCTCTACCGCTCCTACATCGACCGTGTAGAAGCCGAAGCGGCCGCATTCAAGCTCACACAGCGCAATCGATGTCCACTGCACACCAGCACGCAATAACTCCCCGAATCAGAGCAATTAACCGCGGGAGCGAACACGGCCTGCGTCTCCTCCAAGCAATCCGCGTTGCAGAGCCATCCCTCCGGCCGTCTCCAGTCCCAGACCATCACATTTCCCTCCTACGCGTGATCGTGTGCCTCGATTTCCACGATGTCGCAAGCGACGACCTCCGAATCGCTTTGTGGAATTCCAGAAATCGAGGCGATCGGGAGGGCCTCGAACCATCCGTGCGGCGGCACCAGCGCGTTCAGCACGGTCTGGAGAAAAGTGGAACCCGCGGACCTACCCACTGCAAGCGTCCGTTTCGCTCGTGGAGTTCGATGGAACGCAGACTTCCGTCCTCCAATCCGGCCAATAAAATCTCGCCGTACATCGGATGCGCCGCGAACGCCGTGATTCGCCGAGTGAAATGGATCCGAACCGCGGGGACGAGGTCGATCCACAGCCCGGAGGCCAGCGACCGCGGGACGTGGAACACATCCAGGTCGCCGCTGGACCACAACGCCGCCAGAATCCCCGCGGATCCCGCGGGAGCGAGCGACGACGGCAGCCAACAGAGCTGCGTCGGGAAGCCCTGGTTCTGGCTTTGCGTTTGGTTGGAGGCGATGTGTAGCGTGTGAGTGATCTGGAGATTGTGTTTTTGTGTTTCGTAGATGCTCAGCCACCCCGCGCGATCCGGAACTTCGCTTCGAAGAGAGTGGAACGAGCGGCGCGGATATGGAAGATGCGGGCCGTGCCCAGGGGAAACGGTGGAAACGGTGGAAACGGTGGAAATGGTGGAACCATCCGGGGTGGAGGGGGGTGGAGGGGGGATGGCTGGGTTGTCGACACAGCCGATGGCAATGAATAGACGATCATCCGTTGAGTGAAATGCGCTGCTTAGAATACAGCCTCCACAATTAATGGCGATTGCGTTCGCTAGGTGAATACTTGTGAAGGGAGGAAGAACGTGCTCCTGTGAATCCAAATGGAGAGTTAGATTATGAGAATGATATTGCTGGGTTGGCATGTGAACTGTGTAATCGAGATACGAAAAAATCTTGTTGGAAATATAGGATATGGGAGACATTGATTGCTGGAAAGCGGGCCGCATCGGGCTAGGCTTTTCCTTAACCTTTTTGTAGTTACCCTTGTGAAATCGAGGCGGTATCGCGTGCAAATGAGTTTCTTTTAAATGATCCACCATTGCTTCGGGAGTTTCCGCCACCCTGAAAATGATTCCCTTCCTCCAAAAAGAAAAAACCAATTGCAATAACAACATGTCAAGGAAAAACGCGACGAAGCAGGATTAAATACACAGACTTGCTACAATTAATTACCCACCACTCTAGATACCATATGATATCGGAGAGCAGGACTGCTGTTGAACGTTCTCTGACAGGATTTACAAACAAACTACGAACAAAGGTACGATCGACTCCATACTTGACCATCTGATGCTTTTGTTGCATCCGATCGCTCTACAGCGCGCCTCGGCATTCAGAGAATCAAATTGAAGCGGAGTGTAAAATCGTGAATACTTTTGGATTTTCACAATTCTACACAATGCAAGAGAAGGGGTATCAATTTGCGACCATATGCTCATCCAACGTGAACCGAAGTATGGAAGCGCATAGTCTCTTCAAGGTACGACTTTCAGCCATGCTTGATTTTAGAAAAACCATCTCCGCGTCTGCTCGTATGGAACGGGTAGAAAAATCAAAATTCCAGGTCTTTCCGAGAAGAAACCTCTAGAGTAGGGACATTCGGGTCCTCGAACGTAGATATGGATTCGGAACTGAATATGAAACGATTCTAAACGACTTGATTGAATTAAATAAAGACTTGTACACTCTTGCCTCGATGGTGTGATTTAGTTTTACGGAGCGCGAAATTATTCCGATGATACAGCGAGACAAAGGAGTCAAGAAAGCTCCACAGCGTTTTCAAGATGAATTCGACTTGAGCTTTATTGATGTGTGTATCTGCTTTGACGAGCACGTCTTCGACTCAGTGGTTGAAGGTGAGCGTTGTTTGTATGATGGGATTGTAGAGCTGCAATTTCGCGGATGTTCAAAGATTAAACCGATTTTTGTGTTCAATATTCACGTTAAGGATCGAGTCTCGACGGCTCGAGAGGGCGCGAAGCACGCTCTTCGTTTGGCTGAAATGGTATGGATGGAGTGGGTAGCTGAATGATAGCTGAATGCCTGCCCGGATTTGGAGGTTGGCGCTGCGGAAGTGAAAAAGAAATTCGAGATTGAGACAGAAATCCCTCTTCTCTTTTGTATGTTTTATTTATGAGTAGTAGAGATGTAAAATTACTATTTTTTGTTTGTTTCAAAGTTGGATTACTTGAGTAATTACATTTGGCAAACACTTTAGGCATTTTGTGCTTATGCAGCAGCTTATCCGTCAGTGCAAAGAGACGCTACGCTCTCTAGGATTTGATTTGTTTGTCCCTTTTAGCGGTATCGAGTGCGGAATATCTGGTTGAAGCGTAGTGCAGCACTACAATAGTTTGGTTCAAAAACGGTTTCAGGTTAGCGATTACGGGAGAGAAAACACTTTGGCAATTCTGATCGGTGCTTTTCCTACATTTTTTTCATTCTTAGGGAATACTCGGAATTTATGGACTCCATTTATTAAGCATTTGTGTGAAATTGATTATCAGTGCGATCAAGATCCGAATCCACTTGACTCGTACTTGATGCTTCTTTTTGATTCTTCCGCATAGTTACACAAAGTCTTGTGTCACTTCATCTTTCCAGATCTTTCCCGTTGAGCAAGATATTCACTACACTTGGGAAATGACGCGTGGACGCATTCTTCCTTTCCAACGCATATCTGAAGTGATTTCCTGTATATGTATTTTAATGTAGATTAGCGGGTTATGCGAAAACAGCAAACTAAGTCATTTGACCTACCATCCCAAGTATAGTTCCTGGATCGGTCTTCGCGCAGTGGCGATTCTCAACGCCGATTTTGAAGATGCAAAAGAATTCGCTCTTCCTCCCATCCAGCCGTGCATTTGTCAAGAATGCGATGAGAAGGCGAAAGTGGTCTTAGATGAGTTAATGCGCACAACGGATTACATGGAGCTGCATAGAAACGACGAAGTCTGGAGGAGATGGCTGTCATTACGAACCATCTGCGAGAAACAGCCGTACGTGTATTCGTGGCCGCAAGCGGCTTACCACTATTCAAAGAATCAGAAGTACTTGGTTGGGGAGAAGGAGCGGATGCAGAAGGGAACGTTTGAGCTGGATTATGATTGGGTGGCAGACTTTAATAAGGATATTTTGGGATATAAGAGGGAGATATTTTTTTGCGTTTGTTCTATCATACCACACAAAATCAGGCGAAAAAAGAGAGAGTTTGTCACAAATATCTAGAAAATGGATTTTTTGAAACAGCTTGCATCGGTAGAAGAGGTGATGGCCGAGTTGGAAGCCATTGAGAAGGAGGAATCTACACTCGAGCGCTTCATTCTGTACAACCTCACAGGAGACCAAGAATATTACGATATCTCGAGTGAAAATGACACGGTAAAAGCGTGCGCTCTTGAATATAACAGAATAACAGCTGATTTACGATCTATGGGGCAGAGCGTGAGCGGTACCATTCTTTGTATGCTGCATAATTCGGATAGGAGTTACAAGCGAAATCGAGGAACTGTCCAAGGAAATGGCTGCTTGTAGTGGAGATGCTGTAAAAGCGAGTGAAAGTATAAAACATTATAATACGTTAAAGGTTTGCTCTTTGGACTTGCATTTCCTGTAGGTAAATGCTGAGAAATCTTTGGAGTTGGTAACTGCCATGATCGATTTGAATCGCAGTGTGGCTGGTGTAATTAGAAGACGTGGAGATGGCTGATTGAGTAGATCGAGAATTCTCTGGAGCACGAGGAATACGAAAAAGCCACCGATTACATTCTAAAGTACCGTCGAGCGATTCTCACGGGCGACATCAGCACCAAGGACGAAAGCATAATGAAGAAGGTATTGGAATGCTGTCCAATCGACCCTAGTCAACAGAAACGCTGATTCGAGCTCTGACCGAGCAGTTCCAAAGCAGCATGACCAAAAACAAACAGACCCAAGTCTACCGCTACTGCCACCTGCTCGATAGTCTCGGCGAAGGCCGCTCCATTCTCCAGCCGTTCCTCTCTCTCTCTTCTTTCGAGCTAACGCATAGATTGGTGCAGTACTTAATGACTCCCCTTGTGGAACAAACCAAAAAAGACAACCAGCTGCTGCAAAGCCAGCGCTCCGCTCACCACGTCGGCGTGGTTGTGGGCAATCTGCTCGGCGGTCTCTACCAGAAAGCCGTGGAGCTCGTGGACTCCGTGGAGGATTCCTTCCAGAACTGCTTCGTGAACGAGCAGTTCGCGTACTGCTATCTTCTCCGCTGCGTTTTTATCCACTGCGACACGCAGGTGGGCTTCGCTTTTCTCTCTCTTTTTTTCCAGGCCGGCCAGCTTTTCTCCACCTTCGCTTCGCTCCGCGACCTCTCCGTGCTCTTCGAGGACTCCAAGACGCGCCTCCAAGCGTACATCTCCAACGAGCAGGGCGTCGAAGACGCCGCGCTGGACGCTCTCAACCCCGTTCTCAACGAGATCTCCCTCATTCTCCAACACGCCGAGTCCTTCTCTCGCTACCTCACCGGCAAAATGAACGACGCCGTCCTGGCCGCGTCCCAGCGCGTCCCGCCCGACTCGGAAATGCTGACGCACTACCCGTCCACTGCGAACGTCCCTGCGGACGTCGTCGCCGCGCTGCGCAGCGCGGAGCAGAAGAAGGGACTGCCGCAAGGCGGGCAGCAGCCGTCGTGGAAGGCGATGCAGTCGCTGTGCCAGAGCTACACGGCGCTGGAGGAGAGCTACACGCTGTACGCGGTGAACCGGTCGATCTTCCACGTGCGGTTGGACGAAGAGACGCGGAGCAGCACGGTGCCGGAGGAAGTGTTCTATCTGTTCGAGATCGTGATCAACCGCGCGATCAGCCAGGGAAACGTCCGGAACATCGCGATGGTGGTGAGCATCGTGAAGGGCTGCATCGACCAGTACCTCCACGCCTATCTGCTCTCGGTGATCCGCGGCAGACGATCGCTGAACACTTCGCGTGCGCGATGCGAAGCGCGGATTCACGCGTAGAGATCGCGTCGACGCTCACGAAGGAGCAAATCGCGACGGTGCTTACGATGAACGATCTCTCGGTAGCCGCTGGGCGAACTGCTGGCTGACGCGATAGACGTGCATTGAATACATTCGCAAGCTGACGACGCGCGTGACGCAAGCGCTGCTCGCCGTGTTCCCGCAGATCCCGAACACGATCAAGAAAAACCTGGACGAAATGGAGCGCGAGTCGCTCCGTCTCATGAACGAAAGCTTCCAGCTGCTCATTCGCCGTACTCCTCATCTTGCTGGTTGCGTGTAATTGCGTAGGACTCAAAGAAACCGTCATCACGCCGCTCTCGCAGAAGCTCGAAAAGAACATCACGTCCATGAATTACTGCTTGGAGTCGGCGTTTGCTCCCCCTCTCACTCCCAGAAACGAGCTCAAAACCGAGCAGCAAGCCGAGGAACTCACGCAGAGCGAGCTCCACTTGATCCAATTCACGCTCTCTCCGTTCGCTCCTCCGTTTTTCTCTCTGATTTTGTAGCTACGCCGAGCTTCTCAACAGCGAGACCGTGACGATTCTGCTCAACGAACTCGCACTCGCGCTCTCTAGTCGCCTCGAGGTCAGTCTCACGAAGCTCCGGTACTCGCAGCAGGGCGTTCTGGCGCTGGACAAGGCGGTTCGCGCGATCTGCAACGAATTGATTCAGCTGGGAGGCAGCGAAATTCGGACGAATTTTGGAAAGGTCAATCGGCTGATCGCGATTCTGAGCTGTGACGATGTGGGGGAGGGGAGAGGCGGTGAGGCGTAGATGTCGAGCGCGCTGTCGCTCGTGACGACGGAGGCGAAGGACATGAGCAATGAACAGGTGAAGTCGATTTTGAAGCTCCGCACTGACATTCATCAGTAGAGCGGAGACAGTGGCGGAGGAGGTGGTGTTCGCGTATTCTTGGCGTTCTTGGTATTTGTGGTGTTTTTGAAATCTTTTTGTGTTTTGTTGGAAAACCAATTTCCGTTCTTTTCAAAGTGGTTTTCTCGATTGGATGGGCCTCTCCATCAAGGCAGTGGTATTTCTCGTTGGCTTTGTGGCCTCTTGCGTCTTCGTGATCTTCCCGGTGGATTTGAAGTTTGGGAAGAAGAACAAGAAGTTCGTTTTCCCTTTAGACTACTCCACGGCACCTATCATTGTGGTTCTCATCCTGTTTGCTACGACTTGCATTCCCTATGTGGTGGTTGTTCGCGGACTGCTGGGAGCTGATTCCCCAGACTGGGCGAAGGACGAAACGAGCACCAGCTACCTGGTTCCATATACTGTGGTGATTCTTTTCATGACCCTGGCATATGTCTGTATGTCTGCAGAGCACACGAAGGCGTTCATCTATATTGCCAATAAGTTTTCCAACGTGGCTCTTTCCTCTTCTAATCCGAGTATCATCGGTCTTTCCCTGTTCACTCTGCTGTCAGCAATCTTTACGCTGGTTACGAGTAACGATATCGTCATTCTGACGCTCACTCCCATCATTCTCCAGTTTTCGAAGAAAACGGATCCGCGTCTTCTCCTTCCCCTCCTTCTAGCAGAGTTTTGCTCTGCCAACTCTTTTAGTGCCGGTCTTCTCAGCGGCAACCCGTCCAACATTATCCTCTCTTCCGTGTTCGAGATCAACTTCACCACCTATCTCCAAAACCTTCTGGTCCCCGCCATCCTCAGCGGCTGCGTCGTCTATCTCTACTGCATGGTCCTCGCTGCCCGCAACCGCCGTCCCCAGTCCCTCCCGGTCCACACCGAGATGGAGCTTCCCGCCGTGAATCCGCAGGCGGCCAAGCCGGTAGCCGCCAACAACGAGCAGAGCACGCTGAAGAAGTCGGCCGTCGTGGCGAACTCTCCTGTGGCTCCTCCCGAGGCAACGACGGTGGTGGGGATTCCGGAGAATGAAGAGAAGAAGCCGGCCGAGGCGGAAGCGAAGCCTGGGAAAGAGCTGCATAACGATCACACGGTGAAGGAGAGGAGCGAAGAGGAAGTGCCGCTGACTCGCAATGCGAAGTTCGCATTGGGGATCTTGGTGATGCTGTTTTGTTTGTTTTTGCTCTCCACGCCCATCCAGAACCGATGGCCGGTCATCGAGTTCTGGCATATTGCCGTGTTTGTTTTCTTCATCACACTCATTAAGGACGTTCTGTTCTACTGGAACGATCTGAAAACCATTTGGACCATCACCAAATCATTACCATGGAAGGTCCCGCTTTTCCTGTTTGCTATGTTTATCCTTGTGGAGACCGCTTCGTACTATCAGTTCACGCTCGCCGTGGCGGACGTGTTCGCTCGGTGGATCGCAGCGCCCGTGGTGCGTTGCGGCGATTTTGCGATTGCCTTTGTCTTCAATTTCATTACTTGCATTGCTTGCCTCATATTTAACAACCTCCCTGCCACTATCTTCATCACGCGCGTTATTAGCGAGAAGTCGGTGAAGGATGTCCTGGGAGAGAAGATGAACATGGCCATGTTCAGTGTGGCTGCGGGCACCAACTTTGGAGCTTGTATTCTGCCGAACGCGTCATTGGCGGGACTAATGTGGTCGTCGCTGGTGAAGGACGCGAAGCTGCTCAAGCGCGTTTGGTTGAATGGAACACTTGTTTGCCTGCTGATGGTGATCGTGTGTTCCCTCGTATTAATAATCATTTCATAGTACATTTAGTATCTGTTTGTTGAATAACAAGAGAGGGATGAAGGATGCATCCTCGTACGCTTCTCTGTCTTTTTTGCTCCTCATCTTCTCCTCAAAGGTTGCTTCGCGATCCCTATCTCTACCAATATGCTGCGATTTTAGCATGTTTGCTGTTTTCCCCAGTTTCTCCAATTCATTTTTGTCTTTCATGCTTGCTTGTTGCAGTCGAGTTAGGAAACGTATGTAGTTTTGATCTGTAGCGTATCCTTATTCGTTCATTTGCTTCCTCAGCAGGAAGTAATCGTTTGAACGATTTGCGAGTAATTTTATTCACTCTCTGCTACTCTAGAACAAGCTGCAGTCTGGACCTGATCTTGCAGATTTTATCGACAACGACAAAGTCAATCCCGCGGGATTGTCTTCTCCCGATCCTTCAAAAAAACAAGTCCGCGCTCGCTTGCCGCCGTGGTTGAAGGCGGAGCTTCCTTCGGGAGAGAATTATAAGCACTTGCTCAAAACTGTTTGTGTGCCTTGCGATCGCTCTATCGTAGGTCCGCGAACTTAAACTCGCAACAGTATGCGAAGAAGCCAAATGTCCGAACATTGGGGAGTGCTGGGGAGGCAAGGACGGAATAGCGACGGCCACGATCATGCTGATGGGCGATACCTGCACTCGTGCGTGCAAATTCTGCAACACCAAAACACATGCCCACCCCGCCCCTCTCGACCCGAACGTACTGGTTCCTTCACCTCCACTCCGCTTCTAGGAGCCAGAAAACGTCGCGAAAGCGGTCACCGACTGGGGTCTGAATTACGTGGTGCTCACGAGCGTGGATCGAGACGACCTTCCCGACTTCGGCGCTTCGCACATCGCCAAAACCATCCGCGAGCTCCGCCGCCTCGCCAAGAAGAAGCTGGTCATCGAGTGCCTCACTCCCGACTTCAACGGCCGCCGCGACTGCATCGAAGCCGTCGCCGTCTCCGGCGTTCGCGTCTACGCGCACAACATCGAGACCGTCGAGCGTCTCAGCGTAGTTTCCCCGTTTCCCCTTCCCGCTAGCCCTTCGTGCGCGACCGTCGCGCGGATTACCGGCAGTCTCTGCGCGTGCTGGAGACCGCGAAGCAGTGCGCGCCGCCGCTGATCACCAAGACGTCGATCATGCTGGGACTCGGCGAAACCCGCAGCGAAGTGCGCTTCTCTGGGCTTTTCTCAGTAGATCGAGCAGTGCCTCCGCGATGTCCGCAACGCGGGAATCGACGTGATCACGCTGGGGCAGTATCTGCGTCCGAGCAAGAATCATCTGCCGGTGAAACGGTTCGTAACGCCTGAAGAATTCGAAGAATGGAGTCGCGTGGGGAAGGAGATGGGCTTCCGCTATGTGGCGAGCGGGCCGATGATTCGGAGCAGTTATCGCGCTGGAGGTAGGGGAGGGAGAGAGAGTGGAGCGTAGAGTTCTTTATTCGGAGCTTGGTGGAGGAGAACGAAAAGAAGAATCGAGATGAAGGCAATGCGGATCAGACGAAGGAGAAGGCACAGCAGTGTGGCTCCAGATCGGGTTCGGAATCGGGCTCGGGATCGGAAGTGAATTTGGATGCGGCTTTTAATTCGAATCTGGATGCTGCTTTTGATGCTGCGTGTGATGCTGGGTTTAAGAGTTAGGGAATGGAGACGGTGATAGTAACGGTTATTGGGCACTGCATGTTTGTTGAAATAAGCTTTGGAGCCGATGTTTTCAAATCAATCTTCAGAGAAGCGCGTTGATAAGCAAGAAACCACTGAACAGCTGAGTACTAAAAGACTTCAAATCGCTTATCCTGTGATTAGATCTTTCCTAAGTATTTGCAGAATCGTTGGGATCAGGCTCTAGTATGTTTTCGATTAACAATCAACCTATTGTAATTGACTCTGGGACTGGGTAGGCGATACATGCCAATTCTAATTGGTTCAGATTTACAAAAGTCGGCTTTGCTGGAAACGGGGCTCCAACGGCTATTTTCCCGACTGCCATTGCTTACCCTTCACATGTGCTCTTTTGAATTCGCAGTAATCGAATAGAAGAGAACGACACGGTCCTTCCAGAGTCTGGACGATCTGGACTATTTTGTGGGAGAGCAAGCTTTCGGGAAGACTGACTACATTCCGACGTATCCGATCCAGCATGGCATTATTCAAGACTGGAATAGCATGGAACGGATCTATGATTACTCGATTTACCAAGAACTGCGTTGTAATCCTGAGGATCACTACTTTTTAATAACGGAGCCGTTCAACAACACTCCGGTTTTGGATGGATGGAGCGATAAGCGGTAGGAGAACCGTGAATACACTGCCGAGGTGATGTTCGAGACCTTCAACGTTCCAGGAATGTACATTGCGACGCAGGCGGTGCTCTGTTTGTACGCAAACGAGTTGTCGAAGAAGGATGGAGGCGCTGTAGTGTTTGATAGGGTTGATTCGAATCAGATGAACTCGGCTGTTTCGGGCGTGGTGGTGGATGCTGGAGAAGGCGGGACCTCGATTATTCCTGTGGTATGATGTGTGTGGAGATGGTGAAAAAAAGGCGGAGGGCTATGTGTTGGGAGCTGCGGTGAAGACGCTTCCTCTGGGTGGCCACGATATTTCGGAGTTCATTTTGCGTCGTCTGCGCGAGCGCAACGAGCCCGTTCCGTCGGAGGACATTCTGGACGCCGTGAAGCAGGTGAAGGAATCGCTGTGCTACTGCTGCGGCAACCTGGTGAAGGAATTCTCTGCGTTCGACGAAGATCGGAGCAAGTTCAAAACGGTGTCTGGAATCAACGCTCGAACCCAGCAGGTGGTGTCAAAGACGACTACTGAGCGATAGAAATGGACGATCGATGTGGGATACGAGCAGTTTTTGGCCCCCGAGCTGTTCTTCAACCCGGAGATTCTGAATCCTGAATATACGACGCCGTTGGCGAACTTGGTGGATCAAACGATCATGCGCTGTCCGGTGGATGTGCGTCGTCCGCTGTACAGCAACATCGTGGTGGCGGGCGGTTCCACGAAGTTTAAAGGATTTGACAAGCGACTGAGCCGCGACTTGAAGCGAATCGTGAAGGCTCGGTACGATGCGAACATTTCTGCGGTGCGCGCGAAATTGCAGGGAAATCTTGAGATTCAAGGAAAGGAGATGGAAGTGGTGGTGAAACCTCCAAAGAAACGGGAGATTGCTTCGTGGATGGGAGGCAGTTATGTGGCTTCGCAAGTAGGCGGAGATGGACGCGTTGAACTGTAGGATGAGTTTGTAGGAGCGTGTGTGACGAAGGCGGAGTATGAGGAAAAAGGAGCGAAGGTAGCTCGCAAGAATGCTCTCGTGAAAGTGGACTATTAGTGTGATCTAGCTGTATGTAATGTGTTTGAAAGAACAAATTTAAATCCTTGATAAAAGCATCGAATCACTGTACAGTTCTCTGCTCTATTTGTTAGGTTTCACTTGCTTTTATCGCTTGTATTTACGTATTTGAAAAATGGGTAAGTTTGTCTTTGGATGGGTGGTCTGCAGTGTAATTCTAATCGTGGTGTAGGTATTTGCCGTGATTCTCGCCATAAGCGTCGTTTGACCGGAGGAAAGGTTGTGATCAACATCAAGAAGAGAAAATTCGAGATGGGTCGTCAGCCTGCCATGACCAAGCTCGGAGCCAAGAGAATTTACCTGGTCCGCTGCCGTGGTGGAAACATCAAGCACCGTGCTATTCGTCTGGATACTGGTTCGTTCTCCTGGACCGGAGAGGGTGATTTTTGTCTAGTGAAGTGATTTGTAGCTTTCTCTGCCAAGACCAAGATCCTGAACATTGTGTACAACGCTTCCAACAATGAGTTGGTGCGTACGAACACCATTGTGAAGGGTTGCATTGTTTCGATCGATGCGACCCCCTTCAAGGCCTGGTTCGAGAAGCACTACTCCTGCAAGATCGGAGCGAAGGGCGAGGTGACGAAGGACGATCTGAGCAAGCTGGAGGGTGTGAGCAAGTCGAACCTTGCGAAGCTGCAGAAGCTCCAGGATTCCCTTCAGGAGCAGAAGGAAGTGATCGATCAGCTGGCTTCGGGTAAGATCCTGGCTCGCATCTCGTCGCGTCCTGGTCAGTGCGGTCGTGCTGACGGCTACATTCTGGAGGACGAGGAGCTGGCGTTCTACCACAAGAAGATCAACCAGAAGAAGAAGTAAAGCGAAATGTCCTATAGTTCGAAGCAATACAAGTGAAAATGGTTCCTTTGTTTGTGTTATCCAACCAACCATCCATCCATTCTTTTTTATTTTTATTATTGAAGAGTGATTACAAACAAAAGGAAAGGAAAACAATTTGCTTTGTGTTGTCGAATAAAACCTCTAGAAAATGGGAGTTTCGAAAACAGTGTTTTCTCACTAATTTCAAATATGGAGGACGGTAAGATGAGCTACTTTGTATTCTGAGTGTGTAGAAGTACGAAACAGAAAGGAAGAACCCACGGTGGAGTCGACTGTACCATTTTGTGAGATTTTTGCTTATGGATAGCAGCCTGTAAACGAAGAGGAGCCTCTTCCAAAGGGATATGACGTAGAGTCGGATCCTCAGTGTTGGACATCATGCTGTGTTTTTATTGATAGTTTCTTACATTTTCATTGGTTTGCGTATCTGTATTGTAATTCTTGCGTACTTCTGCTTTCAAATGGTACGATACGGTTCGTAGTGTTTATTTTAGGCGTTTGACACTTTTATCAGACCCCTTTTCATCTCGATGGACGAGCAACTTGGTTTGATTATCGCTTCCTTGCAAGATCAGTGGTGTGTTCATGGACAGTGTACAGAAGAGGATGAAAAGGTGATTCAAGCGATTGTAAAGAATATCAAGGAGAGTGGTCATCGATTCCGGTGGTTCTACTTTTAGTTGTACTCTAATGGAGTGTTTGTCACAAACAAATGATCCTACTATCTTTCTGGTTTGGTTGCTTTTTTTATTCGGTTTGTTTTCTTGTGTTTTTTTTGTTTTTTTGTTTTATCCATTTTGTTTTCCTCACATTCTCTCCTTCTTTCCAGGCATAAACCCAATTCCTCCTCCACTACTCATCGGCGACATCCCTTGTCCCACAACAAATTGACTCGCATTCATGCGTCTCTCTCCGAACCTCGCCGCCATCAGCTCCGAATACACGTTCTCCAGACATCTCCGCACATCTCCATACGAGCACACCAGCACCGTCTTTCCATCCGGACTGCACAACGGAATCGTTTCCGGGTCGCCAACATCCAACTTGGCCAGCGAATCGATCACATGGCCGAAGTCCACAACCGCTCTTCCCTCCTCGTCCTTCTGATGAAACACAAAGTCGCGAAACAGCCGCAGAATGTACCGATCGCCCGTATCGCTCCAGCTGTAACCTCCCTTCTCGTCGGGACGCTCATTCACGAACGCCAGCTTGGTGAGAAGCCGCATATATCGACCGTTCGCGTACTCTTTTCGCTAGAAATCAGCGCCCTTCTTCGCGTCTACGAGATCGTTGTAGTACGTGTCGCATGTCGAGAGCGAGCTGTTCAGCGTCTTCACGATCTGCGCAGTGCACTGCTCTAACACGACGGACGCGGGCGACTGTGCGGAAAGCAGCAGCTGCACGACCTTCACGAACTTCTCGCTGTAATGCACGGCCAGCGTTTTGATGTCGGGGAAAACAGCGCCGCGACAGCCGAGCACGACGAGCAGAGAGCCGAGCTGATAAAGATCCTTGGCTTGGAGATCTTGGTTGGTGCTGTGCGGCTCGAGAATGTCCATCACGCCGACACTGCCGATCCGAAAGCAGTTTCGCTCGGTCATGAGGACGTGGCGGTAGTCCACGGTGCGACAGGCGAGATTGTAGGCGTGGATGGTCTGCAGAGCGGAGAGCAGCTGGATGGCGATGCACCAGAGAAGGTCTTCGAGGAGAGGGGCGGAGCCAGGCAGGACGTTCTGCGAGGATTAAGGAGAAGAGAGAGAGAGAAGCACTTTGAGGAAACAATCGTAGAGACTGGTCGCGGTGGGGTAGAAGTCGTGGACGAAGAAAACGGCGCCATTGCTGAGGTAGCAGTTGCGCAAAGCGATGATGTTGGGGTGATGAACGCGCTTCCACGCATTCAAAACCATCGCCTTTCACATTATAAAAAGCACAGAGTCCGCTTACCACCATCTCGTTATTCGTGCGAACTCGCTCCACACGACGCAAAGCGTAGCTCATCCCGTCCGTTACGTCCACCACTTTGTAGAGAGAGGTGAGAAAGCCGAAGGAGCCGGTCACCATTTCCTTCTCCGCGTCGTCGAAGACGCGCATGGAGCAATAGCAGGGCGGGATCTGCTTGTAGCGAGGATCGTCCGGGGCTTCTTGAGCCATGATCTCGCGAGCCTGGACGTGAGGGAAGGGAGGGAAAGACAAACTTCCCGCTCAAACTGACGCGACATTTCGCGAGGGACGAAGATGGTGGAGAAGGTTCGCTGGGTCCGAACCTGAGTTAGAAAAGGAGCTTCCCCCATTGAGGGATTGGGTCGCATGGCTGTCTCCTTTGGATGAACCAAGCAGTACGAAATAAACAGAAAGATACGAATTTTCCACATAACTCTCCATCGGGCGATAAACCTGTAAATCAGATAAAACACAGAATATGACTGAATGAGCAGATCTCAGAGCAACTGGGGAATACGAATCTAGGAATGATGAAACAACCAAGTTCGTGCTGATAGATGCCGGTTGTGGTGAATGAGACTACAAAGTGAGGAAACATAGATTGTTAATTTACCGATGAAGATACTGAAGGTGTGAACGGAATTGCTTCAGACTTCATCGATTTCGATACGGATTGAGGAACAAATGGAGCCGCTTCAAGTGCTTTCTAAAACATTGAAAGAGCCAGGAGATTCTCTACAGTGAGCGAAGTGGCTTGCTCCTCTGTTTTCGGTGGAGGTGTTTCATTAGCAGACGGTTTACTGTTTTCTGAATCCATACTCCTGCGGGATTTCAGTGGCTCCTATTGCATAGCAGTCTAAATCCTTCGAAAGTGAAGGTAGGACTTCCGCGGTTATCGGATCTTTTGATGGGAAATCAATAATTAGTCATTATGTATGAAAAGAAACATAGAATATATTATTCGATTCGGTCTTTGAAAGATTCATTCCTATCACATCACTATGGAATAAACGTATTCAATTCTACTACAGCATAAAGAATTTGGAAAATATGTGTTTTGAGGTGTGATATTCTTGCCTTATAATTAATAAGAAATAAAAAAGCAATAAGATATTGTCTCTTCATTTGAAACCGAGTATTGAACAGTCATCTAGAAAAAGAATACAAGTTATCTATATATAAATATTACATTTAAGTATATTCGATTAGTTAGTGAATAGAAAATGCACGACTTCTCTAACTCTTCGGAGCAATTTTCGAGAAGGTACAATTATTGATAATTACAATACTTTCTAATGAATTTGGATTGATTAGCATTATTCCTTGGTGAGATCTTGAGAATGACCCATACTTGTTTGTAATGAGCGTTGTTGAGAGTGAAAAGTATAGTCATTTTATTTATTACCTACTGTTCTAAACATTTTCTGTAGTTTTCGTTTGTTTCGTGTTACATTCACCTTTATTACCGTAGTAATCAAGTGTATCCATCAACCAAAAGAAAATACAATAATGTACTAACAAGGCCACAAAACAGTATTTGAAAATAGTATGACTTCATAATAATAGTTCAAAACAAGTTCACCAAACTGTCATTGGCATTTGTAGTTCACCACCATTCGAGTTTGAAGTATAATAGGCATTTTCTTGCCATTATTGAGCATTACTGGTTACACGAACAATAGTGATACTGTGGGTTACATATTACACTGTTCACGATGATTTGAATCAGTCATCTCACTATCTAATATCAAACTTGGTATTATCATCTTGCATAATAGGAATAAATGTAGCAGATTGCGTAATAGATAAAAAGAGTTGTTCAAAGTGTTTTTGAAGAAAAACAACAACACTCATAGCAGAAGCATATGATCATGAATATTTAACAATGAATATTGATAAGAAGCATACCAAAATGCGTGATTGTACATCCATTGTGTTTCAAGTCGAGAATATAGCTCCAGCTTGTAATTCCATTCAATAGGCATAATGGCAATTCTTCACATAACTCAATCTACTGTGTGAATAAGACAATTATGGTAGTATTCACAAAATGACAAAATCTGTCCACTCTTTACTTCTACTATTCCTATTATTGTTCAAATCAGAATATCATACTAGTATTAAGAAAAGAATGTACAATGCAACAATAAGAATTATAATGGAGAGAAAATTATACTGGAATCAAATAGAGAAGAGATTCGTTTCATTTTGGTGTTTTTTTCCATATTATCATTATTTATGGAATTATCTACAGATTCCGGAATTAAATTAGATTATATTGTCGAAATAAAACCATTGGACGTGTCTCGTGACCTGGGAAAGGAATCTGGGTTTGAGGTTGATATTTGGAATTGGTGTATTACCAATCAATTCCCTATTAGTACTATAGATAAGATTGATAGTGAGAATGTGATTCTGAACATTGGTTCTCCACATCAAGGTTACACTATTCAAACGAAGATGAAAGATGGGAAATTAAATGGGGGAGCTATTATCAAAACAACAAACAATAAGATAATAGCAGAATTCGAATATCGAAGTAATGAGATAAAGGGACAATGTAAATTGTATTATGATTCAGGCGAATTATATTTTGAAGGGAATCTTGAAGATGGATATCGTCAAGGATTTGGAATAGAGTATGATAAGAATGGGAATGTGATATTTGAAGGTAGGTATGAAAAAGGATGTCGAGACAATCATTGTGAAAGAATGGATGGAATGGAAGGTTATTGGAAAGAATTGGATGGGAATGGAAATGTGATTTCGATTTGTCAAAAGAATGAAAAAGGAATGAATGAAGGACTGTGCCTCTATTTTGAATCAGGATTACTGGATCGAGTCAGTATTTGGAAAAACAATGAAGAAATATCGATTTTATATCGATTTGAAAATGGCAAAATGATAGAATACAAAAATGGTGTAAAGTGTTTTGAAGGATACTATGAAGGTTCAATTGAGAAAGGATTTTCTCGACAATATGGAGTTGAATATGATGAAGAAGGCAAGAATGTGATTTATGAAGGTGAATTCCTGAATGGAAAACGATGTGGACGAGGAACATCTTAAAAACAATGAAAGAGAATATGATGGAGAATGGGTGAACGGAATACCAAAATCAGAGTATATACTGTTATTTGCAATAATTCCAGTAATATTCGGGCTATGTATTGTTGTACTGACATTCATTTTACCAATACCAACATTCTTGCAGTGGTTAATAATGTTACCAGTAATCACTTTTGGATTAATATTCCTTGATTATATTTGGAAGAATGTATGTGAAGGAATCATAACAAAGGACTTTTATCCTAGAGTATCTAGTAAGAGATACATATATGAGGGGGAACATGTCATATTTGAAGATGAATGCTATTCCAAAGTGCAAACATTCAAAATCGATGGATTGAATCGATTGAAAACTATCAAAATCGGAATCAATTCATTCACTCAGAAAAAGAATGGGTATGGAGGTGATGAATCGAAATCATTCCACATATTGAATTGTGGATCATTGGAATCCATTCAAATTGGTGAATTCAGTTTCAGTGATTTTGCTGGCGACTTTGAATTGAAGAATCTACCACAATTACAATCCATTCAAATTGGTATAATTGGTAGTTATTCAACCAATTTCTATTATAGTTCATTTGTGATTCGAGGTATTGATTTGATATTGTATATTTGAATGCATAGATCTTCCAAATCTACAATCCATTACATTAGGTGATTGGGCGTTCTGTGGATCCTCATCAATAATAATTGAAAGTATTGAATAAATGAGAATGAAATGATTGATGTAGATCTACCATCTCTACAATCCATTCAACTCGGTATTAAGGTACTTTGTGGAAGAGGGGATAATAAATCAAGTTCATTGATAATGCGAAGTAATAATGAATTGATTGATTATGATTTGATTTGTAGATCTTCCAAATTTAACATCAATAACTTCTGTACTATTTAGTTTCCTGTATTCTCGTGTAGTGACATTGGAAAGTATTTCTGAATATTGAATATTGATAGTATTTAGATATTCCAAATCTTCAAAATGTTGATCTACCTCGTTCATTCGAGTATGTTCGATCGAAATCAATTTCGAGTATAGTTTGATTGATTTGATTTGATTCATAGATGTTTCTTCCATTCTCGCTGATCTTATCGAAATCGATGAGTAAATCTTTAATTTTGATTTGATTTGATTTGATTTGTTCAGTGATTCGTCATTGTTTAGGAACATTTCCATTGATTGATTAATTGATTGATTGTTTGTTTGAAACCGATTCTTGATCACAATTCATGATTCTATAATAATCAAAATATCAATCCTGCCTGATTATTATGATGTTCTTCTTTACCATTTTAACAATGATACTGAATTACTATAAAGTGTTTTTGAATTGAGGATTTTTTGGGAAACTTTACTGGCCATTTCGGCCAAAGTTAGCCTCAAACCCTTTTCAATTGACTGCAAGCGTTAATCACGCAATATGACCACGGACATCTTTTTGCCCTTCTTAGAAATAAGGCGAGAAATATTAACCTTAGTTTATTTACCTCAACCTCGCTGTGTATGATAAAGCGAAGCAAGCTATGAACGGTAAATTTCCAATTCCCCAACAGTAATCCTTGCTCATCCAAGGATCACCTAGTAATGGCACGTTCTCGTGGTTCAGCTCGTACTAGTACAAGAATCCTTACACACTTCTATGACTGTCCTGTTCACACCCAATCAAGTCATGTTCAACAATGTGGATTCTACGAATGGGATCACGAATTCGAATGACGAGGAGCTAATGATTCTTTCTAGATTACTACAAGATCGGTCAAATCATTGCCATCCTCAACATCATGACCGATACAATGTTCTCGATATCTATAAAGGCTTCAAGTTATAGGTGTATTTATATCCCGTCCCCATACTCTATCGATCTCACCAATGTTCCAGATATTCGAGAAATCCTCGTTTTGGAAGGATGTACCGTCATTCTATCCGCTTCGTTCTATGGATCGAATGTGATTGATATCACTCGAAATTGTCACGTGATTCAGTGTATTCATCGTTGGAACGATCATCTGATTTGAAATCGCTAATCAAAACAACAATTCACTCACCACAATGATTATGCATGATTCTGAAATCAATGATATCAATACTGTAAAAGAAATATGTATACCGATGATTCACCGATTTGATCGACTGATGTTTGTGATCAATAATATGAATGGTAATATCACACATTTGAATGGTGAATTCGAACTCCATTTGACTATTGAAGATGTGTGTGATCAATTGCATACTCCAGTTCCATCGACCAACCAATTCAGTACGATTGAAGTATTTGGAAACAATAACAAGAAGGAGATAAAATTGGATAATCCTCGATCATTCGATAAGTGTTACATATCATTTGTATCATTCTATACCGAT